ACGGCCCGCGCTGGGACGGATTGCTTAAGGCATCTCCCTGCTCGCAGCCGTCACTTTGCGAGATCTCGTGGCGCCGGCCCTCGGCGTCCCACCACAAATACGTGGAGGTGCCGCCATACCACGCCCGCACATACAGGACAAGGGCTGGAGCAACCTCACACAGCTTCGTCAGGTTGGAGCCGGGGGAGTTCCTCGCCGCTTTTTTGGACGACCTGTATCTCGTCACCACTCCAGCTCGTGCCCGGCTTGCGCTAGATGATGTCACCCGCACGGTCGGGCGGCATGCGGGTGTCGCAACGAATCTCGGCAAGACTCGGGTCTATCGCGTCAGCGGCGGGCCGCCACCGCTCGATGTCGAGGCGCTCGGGCCCGACGTCTGGTGCGGCGGTGACACTGAGCCGGCGACTTGCGGTTTCGTTGCGCTGGGCGTGCCGATCGGGCATGCGGAGTTCATGCGACGCAAACTTGCGGCGAGACTCGAGGAAGAGCGCCGCCTGCTGCAGGAACTGCCAGAATTGCCTGATATGCAGGGTGCGTGGCTGCCCCTGCTCTACTGCGCCAGCCCGCGTGCCCAACATGCTTTGGGCACAGTGCCGCCGACGGATTCGGCCGCCTATGCGGCAGAGCACGATCGGGCAGTTTGGACAACGCTACAGCGCCTGTTAGCGGAGCAGGATGCGCAAGGACGGGAGTGGGATGGCCAAATCGCCTTCCTCCCCGCCGCATCTGGTGGCTTCGGTCTAGCCTCCGCGGCCTACTGGGCGGCTTGGGCGGACGCGCTCCCGGTAATGCTGCACAGACGCCCGGAGGTTGCTCGTAGATACGCGCAAGAACTCGCTCTTGGCGGCGCACACTGAGCCTTCAGAGCCTGGAAGTTGGCTTCATTGCTGGCAGAAGCCGGCAGCTCGCGTACTGAACAAGTCCTATCGCGAGCGCCTCTTCTGCAGCTTGTCGCCGAGTTCCCGAGCTCTGCTGCGCTCCCAGGCGGGCGCGCACGCCGGCGAGTGGTTGCGAGCCATCCCCACGGACGAGGCACACAGTTCCTGCCGATGGATATGCAAGTCGCTCTCCGGCGACGCCTTGGCTTGCCGCTACCCTTGGCGTCGGCCCGTGGCGGTGGACATGGCGAGCCAGGCTGCCGAGCCGTGGTGGACCAGCTGGGCGACCATCGCGCCGCCTGCGCCCGGAGTGGGCTGCTGGCCAGGCGTGCCCCCATACTCGAGCGAGCATTGGTTCGCGTCGCGCGGGAAGCCGTCGCCGCCGAAGGGCGGGTGGTCCCCCAGCAATGGCTGGCGCGGACCACCACGCTGGGCGTAGCCTCAAATGACCGGCGCCGACTCGACCTCGTCATATATGGCGCGTTTCGGCGCGGCGAGGCACTCTGCTGCGATGTGACCCTGGTTTCGCCGCTGAGGGCAGACGGGCGCCCGCAACCGGCCTCGTCGGCTGCTATCGACGGCGCGACGCGGCGCAAACAACGGCGCTACCCTGAACTGGATGAACTGGCCGGCCCGGGCCCGCAACGCCTCGTCGTCCTGGCAGCGGAGGTCGGCGGACGTTGGGGGCAAGAGGCGCACGACCTGTCCGCAGCCTCGCGCAACAGCGCTCCCTGCGCACGCCGCCTGCGCGGCGTGCGGCTGCCCGCGCGGGGTGGGAGCACCGGTGGTGGGGGCAGCTCGGATGCGGGTTTCAGCGTGCCTTGGCCTCGACGCTGTTGGGCGGTTGCTGGAGAGCGCCGGATAGCGCCGGCGCAGTTTACCGGCGACGAGCACACACGGCTCGGGTGGGTCCTGGAGCTCGCCGAGGCTGAGCAGCGCCCTTGCGGGCGTGATGCGCATGAGCTTCCAGCGATCGGAGAGAAAAAAAAAAGTTCGGAAAGGTTCCTACAGCTCAGGTCACATCTCACACGCGTGGCACACACGGCCAACGAATGCAATGGTGCACTCAATGTTTCGGGCAGTGTTGACAGCCGGGTCCGTGGAAAACCCTGTGTGCAACGAAAGGACGCGCCGTCCAGAGATTTGCAGTCGCCGGCAACTGCGTGCTTGATGATGAGCAGGGCATTCTACCAATGCGTGTGCGGGAGTCAACACAAGATGCGCAAAAGCGGCAACGGGCATCAGAAGTGTTTCCGCGATGACGGGCTGACCTGCCATCCGCGAAATCATGATGGGGTAACGAAGGTGGCATCGCAACATAAGGCAAGACAAAGGCGAGACCCAACGGGGTGGCGCCGTAGACGGTGAGATCCACGCGGCGCCGATCGTCGGCTGGGACCCCAAGGCGCCGTCGTGTGGACCAGCCACTGCTGCGGCACCACCTGCCCTTCGGGCCCCGCCACCCGCACCCACGCCCTCTCCACCACATACGCGTCCACGCTTCCGCCGCATCCGGGCTAGCCGCACTGGCGAGCGGTGATGCCTGCGCAGGGCCACCTGCATGACTTTGATGGGCGGCGACAACGTCGTGGCCGGCTGGCCGGGCATGGCCGTCAGCCACGCGCCAGTGTGCGGGCTTGACTGGGAGCGAAGCAGGGCTCGGCGGTCCGGCGTCAACGACGGCAGCATCATGCGGTCGCGATAGTAAGAGTTGTGAGTGCGACGCATGAAGCTGCCAGCCGTGTGGCCATTCGCCAAGTCTTGTATCCGCCTCCGCGTCCGGCCGCGCCCCCCCGGCAACTGCGGTCCAGCTGGGGCTTGCGTCCCAGCGCTCGCAGCGTGGCTCAAACACGCGGGAATGCGCCCCTTTTTTGGAGCGCAGGCCGCCGCGAAAGCCGGAAGACGTGCCGCCATGACCGGGAGAGCATCCGCCCACGCCGCTCAATACGCCACGGGGGCTCCACACGCTGCTGACGCTAGGCCCCCGAGGGCTGCTGGTAGGCAGGCTGCTCTTCCGCTTCCTGGTCCCCATCACCCCCACACGGCTTGGTCGTGCGCTGCGGCGTAGGCGGCCACATCTGGCGCAAGCGTGGTTCGCACGTGGGGACGCGCATAAGTTTTTGGTTTCTGTCTGCCCTGGTTGTCCATCGTCAGCCGACGGGCATTACACCGGCATGGGCGCCGCGCTGGGTTGCGCCATAAATGATTTTGCCGCTGCTTGCCGGAGGGGCAGCGGGCTGGGCCGGCCGTCGGCACCACTGCTTTTGGCCAGGCGCCCTGCATCTCGGCAGGCTCTGACTTCACGCCGCTGCCGCTGGACCGTATCCTGGAGCCGGGCGTAGTGCGTCAATTAGCCGCTTGCCCATGCGGCCTTGAGAACACGAGTCCGCGCCGGAGAATAGGAGCGTTAACAAAAAAAAACGTTTTAACAAAAACACTTGTGGTGACATCGTTATGGCACATCAGGACGTAACAGAGCATGTCATGTCATGTCAGGTCAGGTCACGTCACGTCACGTCATGTCATGTCATGTCATGTCATGTCAGTTGGGAAGATTGTGTGCAGCCAAAAGGCTTGGACCAGCGTAGCCGAATCACACGAAGCACCGGCAAAACATCATGTAGTTGCTGAATGTGCTGATTTGCCCATGCACCATTGGGTTCTGTTCGACCTATTCTCAAATTTTAGATGGGTAAGAACAACAGTGGTTACTTGATTGAAGTTCTGGGATAAATGAAAACTTTAAGTGGGCCGTTTTTGGTAAGCAGAAATGAACCGGCTAAGGTGCTTAATTGATCTTAATTGCACGCTCATCAGATACCACAAAGGGTGTTGGTTCATCTTGACCACGTCGCAGGGCGCCGCGTGCCTTGCCATGAGTCATGTCTCCCGTTCTCGTTCATCCAGGCTTGCGGAGTGTTGGGCGGGGGCTATAGTGAGCAGCTGCTTGATGCTGGTGCACAAACACATGAGTCGGGCCACTTGCGGGCAGATAAACCTGCTTGTCCATTGCATGTGTATCTGATCACATGGTCGCAGTTAGGAATTTGCTGGAACAAATGTTCAATCGCCGGCAGCTTCATTTGCCCTCGTTTCCAATTGTGAATGCGCTTAATTGAGTGGTGGGTGAACATTCAATCAAATTCTCATTCGAATTCTGGCTGTGATGCCCGATTGTTACCAGCAACACGCTGTGTGGTAGGAAGGAACATAGCATGATAAACTTCTGGGAGGTGATGGATGAATTTGCCCAAGGCAAAGAGCACAAACATGACAATGGGCTTTTGGATAAGCTGTTCCAGCATGCGCCGTGGTTTCACCATATGCACCACGACGAACCAAAACAATTAATTGTTACCAAAAATCGGAGAATAGGTTTCAATGCACAAGGCGCAGATCACGATCATGGGCCATCAGCGGATTGTTGCACCCCGAGATGCAGCTTGCATGTGCAGCACGCGCAAATGTTACAGCTGTTGTACGAGCATGACGAGCTGCCGAGGTTGTGGTGTGTCCTTTTGGACATGCGAAGTGTCAACCATCGCTACACAGGCCCAGGCACGTTCCAGTGTTACGTTAGAATTAGTTTCAGCAGCGTGTGGCTTGTCCTGAAAGGACCGTAGTCTTCGTGACTCGAACGGGCAAAGTGCAAAGTGCAAAGCGCAAAGTGGCTCAGCCGGGGGATCAGGTGAGCCGGCCACTAGACGCAAGCAGCCAAAGCAGCCGCGAAAGGCTGCGTGATCGATGCATCTCTGGCATTCAGGTGACGTTGTCATAGAAACAATGATAGGGGTTGTCAGATTCTGCCATTTGTTGTGGTATGCGGAGTGCTGCCATATTACCAAAAACGGCATGCGTTCCCAGATGTTGTTCTATGTTGTCATACGTTGCCATTTGACAATTGTCATGTGTTGTGTTGCATGCTCATATGTACTTAAATGCTTGTCATCATATGTTGGAGTTGCCAGCTGTTGCCATTGTCTGCCATTGTGGCTTTGTTCACGTGTAAAGTTGCCAGGAACCGCAGCAGAGCATGCTCTCGACCCAGCGAAATCCCTCCGTAAGATAGGGTTTAGGAGTGCGCTTCTTAGAAGAACGAGAAATTCTGTTCCGAGCACAGCCATGCCGACAGAGTTCCAAAAAAGAGCCGGTCTGCTCCTGAGAGCGTGGCAGGAGTCGGGGTTCAGGTTTGACATGTTGTTGCAGGCAGCATAGGCAGCAAACTTCTTTCAGGGCGCCCCCCACCCCCCCCTCGAGAGAAAGACCAGACAAAAGTTGCTGTATTTATAGCTGAATGGCTTGCCTTGCCGTGTTTGTGTGCCACTGTTGTCGTCCTGAAGGTGTTTTCGTGGGACTGGTGACCTGCTTGTTGCTGCCAATGTGGAGATCCGAACTGTATTGTTACACGGTCTTGTGCTGTTTCATTCTTGGAGGCAGGGGAAGCATCATGGCAAGTGCCCACGTCCAGGCAGCCAGACAGTCACACAACATGGGCTTGCTGGCAGGAACGCTGGAATATTGGACTGCTGTTTACAGCCGTGTTTCTTCACTCCAGGACATCTGAGTATGCAAATCCTTCATGCTGGTGCTTATCGCATGCGGGCACATCATGCTGCATTCGTGTGAAAAGGACTGGGCTGTCTATCTGATTTTATTCATGGTCTGGGTGTTGCCAACGATGGCAGCACTTCACATCTACGGCGGCGTTATTGGGCACACTCGTTTAGTGGTCGCTCGGCCAACTGGTGAATTTTGACGTTGGATGTTGTTCTCCGTTCTTGTGGCCTTGTGACTGAGGAATGCCTGATCATCCAGCTGGTCGTGGGAGATTCAGCACAGCTCATAGTGGGCCGCAGCATTGGCCGACACCATGTGTGCGTCAAGCTCTCCCCAAAGAAGACGCTGGAAGGCGCCAAGTTGTTCTTTTACACTTCTGGATGGCAATGCTCACGCATTTAGAGGGGGGCCTGCGAGTTTCAGGCTATGTTGGAGGGTTCGTCCTCACGTTCATGTATGGGGCGCTGGTGCATGGATGGAGTCCATTAAACATCTCTGTTGTCTATGTGTTCGGCCCCTTGTCTGTCTTCTGAGACATAAGCTGGTGGAAGAACAGCACACGGGCCACTGAATGCAGATCAGGTTGCATCGGGGACCTGTACTTTTCTGGAATCAAACGACGTTTGGGCATCAAGGACTACTCTCGCATCCTGTCTTCGCATGGCTACTTTCAGGCACATATGCTTGCTGGGTTAGGCGGCCAAAGGATTTGCAGCTTGAAGTTGTCATGGCTTCAAAAATGTCATTCTTGAATGTGAGTAAGGTGGCTTATTGGATCGGATCGACTCCTTCATGTTCGCTGCCAATGCATTGGTGTGGAAGGCTGCTTGCGGTAGCATCCAAAGGGTTGCTCAGCGACAATGCTTGCTGTAAGGCCTTCTTCTTCTCTCCAGAATAGTTGGCGGAGAGCTTGACGTGCATGAGCCATAAGCCACAAGCTGCTTGTGGTTGCCGCGGTCGTAGGCAGCTCAGGGGCAACGAATCTCTGTGTCTGCAGAGTTCCGCACGGGCAAACAGTGCCTAATGGCGGAGCAACAAGCCACTCGACACGCTGGCAAAATGAGGTCAGTCAGAACCACGGTGTGATTTTCCATGGAAGCAAAGTATCGTTTTTCTTGTGTCGGGTCGTCCGGACCCGCCCACCCGCACCCGACCCGGACCCGGACCTCCCACCCTTTAACCACCAAGAGTGTTAGCGTGCTGTTGCTTGAGATTCCTCTGACTGTCAGTCCTGGGGCCTGGCTTCTTCGGTCATTCGACGATTTGAACGGTCTGCTCCTGATGTTCGCGTTTCCTGGTGCTTTGGTGATTGCATTTCATATGTAAGCCAGAAGGGTTTGCACCGAGGTTGAGCATGAAAGAGCTCAGCCTCATAGACAACATGACGCTTGTCGTGACTGACCAGATCCTGAGCCAGCTTATACGCCGTCGCGAACGCCTTGCATCTGCACTTAAACCAAGGAAGCATGTGCTAGTGGCGTATCACGTGGAGTTTGCGATTGGCTCAGTTGCAGCCTCGGTACACGTTGAAGAAATTTTCATGCATAAATGGCAGACCTCGAGCACGCGCCGCAACGCGCAAGTTTCCATACACCCAGTGCCTCCGAACCTTCGAAGATACAAGACCCGAGGATGCGCAGCGCGCTGCTGCGCTCATGGCTGGTGGATGCTCGACCGGGGACAGGGCCTCAGGCTGGCCTCAGGTGGGCTGGCGGACTGCGCTCTTTACTCTTGAAGGCCTGGGCCCAAGAAGGACAGAATTACAAGATGGACAAGAGTCTGGACGCCGAATGAAAAGCTCCAATTCTGTCCTTTCCTTGGGCCTACCAGGTCTCTTGCCTCTGGTCGAGAAAAGTTGACCTTGCCTGCTTGAAAGATGTTACCTCCTTAGCGCACAAATCTTTCAATTAAAGTCTCATCGCCCTCGTGGAGCTATCCAATCTTAGACGAAGCCAAGAAGCCAAGAGGCCTAGCTGACATGCCATTGCTCGATGCTTTACATGTACTGTCCTGCTTGTTTTCTGGCATGATTGCTGCATTCGGTTCCGACAGTGGTCCGACACATCACTATTTTTGCGAGGTTGGCCGCAACCCTCTTGTCAAATGGCCAAAGCTTGCCGAATCGATTGGGGCCGGCTTCTTAGACTTGTTAACGTGGACGCTGTTGGAATTGTGATGTTGCTCATGCAAGAGCAGGCGGTCGTATATCACTTCGACCCCGAGTACCAGGAAGTGCCATTCAAGTTTCAATTGTGCTTTTGTTTCTCGTGGCCTACATGGCACCATGCCTATCATGCCTCAAAGTTGACCTTGGAAGGAAGTCCGAGTGGCTTTCAGTGTGGCGCTTTTTGATCGCAGTTTCCTGGATGGTTCTGCCCTTGCCACAGCTTAGTAGGCACGCTGTTGCTTGTTTGCTGTCGGGTATGTCACGCTGTTGCACATGAAAGATGTGTTTTTTCCATGACTTTGGCCCAAGAAAATTCCCACGTCCAAATGCAGTGACATACTAGCCGTGTGCCTGCAACAGAGCAGAAATCCGGAGCCTAATCAGTCGGGACGAGGCCGATGGGTGACAGCCTAGCAAACACAACGCAGAACAGCTTGCAATGGCCGAGCATGCGGCCAAAGCCCATCTAGTCAGTCAAGTGTCCAACATTGAGCATGGATGGCACGCCAGACTTCCAACAAATTGCAAGACACTCCTTCCTTATCCACATTCCTGGCCCCACAATCGCTTTTTGGCAGCAAGCGCACCCTACTCGTTACGTAGACTCCATTGTTTTCCCATACCTTTTTCTCTTGGCTTGCGGCGCCGCTGGCACCTTCTACAGGTACTTGTGTTGCAATGCAAGTTGAATGCAGCAGCTTGGGGGCTCAGCACGGCTCCGCACAGTCTTCGTGTTGCTGCAGGATGAGCGGTGGTTCCTTGCTGCGGCTGTTTCAGCCAGGGCCCTGCAACAAGATGTTGCTACTCCGGTTACAGTATGTTACAGTAGCAGCAGCAAGAGGAGTCAGGTGCAAAAAGCCCGTGCCTATGCCACACAAGTCCTTCTCGCACTTGGAAGGTCCGAGTACTTCGATGCCCACTTGCACATGCACTATCTCTTGCGCATGGAGCAAAGCGGCGTCCAGGACTACTTGGCTCCCTGGCACTCTCATCCTAGACACTTCACGGCCACGACGTTCGTATTTTGTCGGACTACAGCAGCCCCTCGTGCCTGTCGGGGGGGGCCGGGGGTGGCTGGCGATGAGGTAAATGAGCTGTACAAGATGACAGATGATGATGTTGTGCCGTGGAATTGTTTACGCGGTGGGCGTATTCTGTTGATATCAGACATGCAGCGCCTTTTACGTGTGGCTCCAGAAACACCGAGGACTTTTACCTGCCGCAGCTGAGCCAAGTTGCACTGCTGCGCTACAACAAATCATCTCTGCATCGCTTTCTGCTGGATAAGGCCCCTTGTCTACAAGTGGCCTTACGTTGAGTCAGGGCCCTGAGTGATGTTAGGAAAACTACATCACCAGGCCCAAGCTATTTGATTGAAAGAAAGACACGTGAAACAGCATCACATGTCGGTAACCCTGAGCTATGTACACAGATTTGCATCGTTGCCAGTGCAGGTTTGTGCATGCTTTCGCTTCCTTTGTTGTCTTCTTCAACCAAGGCTGCGCAGTCCATGCCCTTTGCACTGAAGATACACTGGTTGGTGCGCAGCATTGCAGAGGACAGCGGTTTAAGGCAAGAGCACGGGCTGCGACATTGCCTGGCACACTGATATGTCGTCTTTCTCAGGTCGCATGCCAAAGGGAAGGGGTGACAGGAGTGTGGAAGCACACCAGTTGAGATGCCACAGCTGGCTTTGGCCACAGCACACATGCCGAGGCTTAGTCTGAGCAGATGACCGCCGCATACAAGACCTAAGCTGCTCTAATCCAGTCCGGCCTGAAGGCTTAAGCTAGCCGAAGCGAACCCACCAAAGCGTGGCTTGACCTTAAGGTCCACGTGGTGGTTTCACTTGTCGAATCCGTGATTTGGGTTGAGTTTGTGTCTTGTTTGGTGCCTGGTGACGGTTGTTGTGGTGCGTTCACTTCGTTCACTTGAAATTCAAATTAACGAAGGAGTGAAGGGAGTGAGTGATCAATTGAACGAAGACATGAATTGGGAACACGGCCAAGAAACTGAGGCAGTAGATGACAGCGGATGAACAAAAGACCGCTTTCATGAGTGTTTTTGGTGGGTCTTTTGTGTCAACCATTTAATCCTTATATAGTTTCCCCACAGTGGATGACTAGGAGTGTTGACGTCTCGGCATGGACTGTCGCCTTCAGGACAAGACGCCAGAGCTGTACGAGAACGCCATGGCCATGCTAAACCTTTGTGAAGCTGCAATGGCAGCTCTACAGAATGAGCCGGATGCATGCTTTGCCAGGGGTCTGGCTCACTGTGTCGTGCAGCCGAGGTAAACTCAACAGTGGCCGTTGGAAAAACAGATGAGGCAACCAATGCTGCATTTCAGTTCGTTTTGGGCTTAAGATGTTTGGCTGTCAGCCTTGTTACCCGTGTGCTAATTTTGCACTTGCACCCCCAAGGGAAATATGGGAGCGGCTGATTGGCGTTGAGTGCATCTATGCTTGCCTAATATTTCTAGCTTGCGTTGCTTTGCGTTGCATTGTGGGCAGCGTGTTGAGCTATCGACTCTCGCAATCGCTGATTGCTTGAGATCTCCCACCCAAAAAGCCTGAGACCCAAGACCGAAACCTTAAACTGGGATGGCGTGATTCAAAAACCCTAGATTGAGACCCCTGGCGTGAGAGAGTCGAGATTGAGAGCCCTGCTTCACCTTCAGTCCGGAAGCCCCAAGAACTGAACGTCGGTCTGCAGGTGGCCGATGGGCCCCCGCGGGTCCAGCGCATGCTGAGGTGTGGGGAGACGGAGTTGGGTTCAAGGGAAGTCGTAGTAGGCCTGAAGATTTGGGTCTTACAGTCCAGTCTCAGGATCTCAGGGAAGCCGAAGCCACAAACAGCACGAAGACTCGGCAGTGGAAAGGGATTCGGGAGTGCACTTCCGCTAGTCTTCAGCACTTTCCGGTTTTGTCGGAAGGGACAAAGACTCAAAGAGGTTGGGCAAAAAAGGGTACTGCCGGGTCCAACCAGGCTTCAGGGACTGGCGTTTGGAAGACAACCTGTGCGAAGATTCCATCCTGAAGCCCTTCGTAAGACATACCGGCTCGCCTTGTAGCATTTGATGTGCGAATTGAACACGGCCACACTGCCTCCAAACAGCTTGGTTGCCAGGTTGTAAGTAGTATGAAGGCAATAGGAAATTTTCACCAGGTGGCTAACTAGTTGCACATTTACAGCACTGGTGTTTTCTTTCGACCCGTTATGCCCTAAAGCACGAGAAGCCTTGCACCCTCCGCGGCCCGTGCGCAGGTCGAGCTCAGATCCAAATCTGCAGTCAAATCGGGCTCCATCAGAGGGGCGGGTGCGAGACCTTGACGGGGATTGGGGGGATGTGGAACATTCAGTCCTGCTTGAATTGCGCCTTGTGCCACCTTCATCTGTCTTCCCATTCGACCACTGAAGTTTAGGATGTCTGAGATTTTGCCGGATGACTTCTTTCAGACTAAACACTAGAATACCAGGAAACAAGAAAAGTGCTTGTCAGGTTTTGAGAGCTCGAAGCTCTGCAAAGTTCCAGAGCTCGGAACTTTTTGAGAAGACACGGATGTCAGCAGCTTTCAAACTCAAAGTTTCACCGTTCAAAGTTTGCTTTCAAAGTTCAACATGTCGGGCTTGAGCGCCTCTTCGCTAATACCACCCTCAGATTTCATGCATCCAAGTTCACATGGATTAAGAGTTTGAACATTTGGAGTTCGACAGGGTTGCGAGATTGTGAGGTTGAAAGTTGGTCAAATTAGAAAGTTTCACATGCTCGAGTTTGGAGGAGTTGAGGTCCTGCGAATGCGCGGCTTGGCCGGTGCCCGCAAGTTTTGAAAGTTGAAACTTGAAAGTCGAGAATTCGAGAGAGTGGAGTTCGAAGCACGCTTGAGTTTCAAGGTTGAAAGTTTGATGGGTTCAAAGTTTGAGAGATTGTCCGTGTGACACCAGTTCGAGTTTGCGAGCTTGAGAACTTGAAACAACACGAGATAGAAAGTTTGACGACCGCGAGTTTGAGACTTTCCGGAGTTGGAACAACAGTTGAAGGCGCCAGGTGTGCATGTCCTTCCCTCCGAGTCGCTTCGTGCTCATGACCCTCCATTTGGGGTTCTGCATACGGGTCTTCACTTGTGCCCTTGCCCTCATTTTGCTGTTGCCTCCTCGTTTCCATTTTCACCCCCGCTCCGCTTTTTAAACCTCTTCTTCACTCCGCCTTCACGTTCACAATGGGCTCTCGATGGATGGCTTTTGGGTTCCGAAGCGTCTTGCATGGTTGTCTTGGAGCTACATGCATTTTACGGATTGCAAGACAACTGTTGCTTTGTCTGAGACAGTCTAGATGAGGGCGTAGACTTCCTGTGCTGGAGAAGTCTTGTCAAGGTAGTCTGCAAGGCCTAGATGTGCCAAAAAGATCCTTAAGGGTGGGGGCTTGAGGTTCTGCATGCAGCTGGGGACCTTCTGAAGATTCTAAACAGCTCACATCAGCAAAACAAAGGTTGCGAGACACCTCCCCCCTCTTTTTTCATTATGTGTACATATTTCTCTCTCTCTCTCTCTGTCTCTCTCTGTCTCTCTCTACCTCTCTCTCTCTCTCTCTCTTTCTCTTTCTCTTCCTTTTTTCTCAGGCGCTGAAGTCCAAGCCGCGCGTCCGAAGAAGCAGGTTCGGCTGCATCCGGCCCCGCCTCGACCCAGCAGTAGTTGTCCCAAAGGCCTCAAAATCCCCAACAACCAAATCCCGATCACTCGGCCCAAATCCGAGAAGTCCACACCCCTCAGCCCATGAAGAAACCCTGAAAAACTCGCTGTTGGGCTGCGTCTTCCAGTTCAAAGATCTGAGGTTGAGCAGTTTATCAAAGTTGCGGGCATGAGGGTTTCGGATTGCAAGTAGTCCTCAGCCCCTGAAGCCCTAAGCCAGACGCAATCCCCTGAATCAACACAGTTGAATACAAAAAACAAAAAACATGTTCCGCGACGTCGCAGTTAAACAATGCGCACATTGCCTTAGCCGACGTGCGCTGTTGCCGGTAAGAAGCGGGCAGCGATGGACATACAGAGCTGAACCCGAAGCCCACCGGCCCTTATCCAGGAGTTTGGGTTCAGGGGCCGCCCTTTAGGGCTCCAGAGAGACAAGCTTGCAGGGCGGAACACATCTGGGTCCTCGGCTAATAAGTTGTGGATAAACCCGTTCAAAAAATAGCCAAGAAAGAATGGGTTCGACTTTTTTGATCCGCCGCTCTTGGAGGACGCCAGGAGCCCCCATCCAGTCCCGGGAGCGCCGGCACACGGAGGAGAGCGCGCCGTGGCTTCGGGTTTAGGGTTTAGGGTTTAGGGTTTTTAGGGTTTAGGGTTTAGGGTTTAGGGCGCGGGTGGTTTGGGGAGTCGCGGCCGTTTTGGGGTGGAGCCCGTAAACTTGCGAGGACATTTAGAAGACAGTTTCTCCTGCTTTGTACAGCTTCAGCGAATATCCTGGATCGATGCGCTCAGCCTGGTGCTTGCGCTCAGCCTGGTGCTTGCGAGCAAAAGGCCGTAAGCGCCAAATCCACGCCCACTCCCACCTCTAAGACGCTACAGTATCACCACCCAGCCGGCAAAGAGTATGGAGTTGACATGCTTTTGTCAGCCAGAAACCCAGGTTGCCAAAGCCTCGCCCCCCAATTGCTAGTTCAATCATTGCGCCGCTTTCAGAGAGAAGGGGACACGGGGCTGTCCCTGGGCCGCCCGAAGGGAAGGGCGGCGGAAGAACCACCAAGTCAAAGATCAAAAGTAGAGGTTTTACAAGCTGGCGGTTCTCAGAGTGTCCTGAGGTGCCCCCGACGCCAACTGACGAAGGGGGGGAGTTGCAGAGTGGGGAGGCCATTTGTGAAGGGCTTTGACCGGACGGGTTGGGGTTCTTGATTCTTGGCATGTTTGGGCGGAGGAGGGAGGTCGGGAATCTCCTTTCTTGCGGCTATCTTTAGCATACCATGCGCCAAGCAGGTACAACATCAGACCAAGGGTCAGTGGGAGCCATTTGCCAATCCTGGCGATCTCAAAAAGGACCCTGAGCCCGAAGCTGTCAGACTCCCCCAGAATGTGTGCGAGGCCAGATTCCATCCACCCCCTCGCCGTCAGGTCTCAGAGGCTCCTCGGCAGCTTCAGGGTTTGTGCAGGGCACTGGTTTAGGGTTTAGGGTTAGGGTTTAGATGGTTTAGGGCGTACAGTCGGGTTGAGGGTATGCCCATTGGGTTAGCCCTCAGGGTGCAAGTGTGGAGAGTGAGCTGTGTACGTCCATTGGGTAGCGTTCAAGGCTGTGGCACAGGAGCTCGTGTCCTTGTTGGGTTTCCGAATCAACGTTTTGCAACCCGTGACTATGCACAGCTAGTGCCCATAGATGCGTGAAGTGCCCATCGGGCACAGTGGTCCCCAAACAAGTCCATGTAGAGGTTTGATATCCGAACTGTGAATCTCATTCTTAAGTCCCATTCTTGAGAACCTACGCAGCTTTTGACCCTTGGTGCCCAGTCGCTGCGAGGATAGCTCCTTGACGGAGGATGATGTGGAAGAGCACGAGGCCGCCACGCCTGTTGACATGCGGACGTCCTTGCCGGAGGTGGGGCTGGAAGAATTCATCCCAACCATCGCCGAAGTGTCAAGCAAGTGCCATGAACCCTATCATTCCCAAGGTCGAAGCGCTCAAGGCTGCTGCTGTGCGACACCTCGCCGCGCTGGCGCCTTGCCAGGAAGGTCACGTGGAGTCAGGTTCCGCATGGTTCGGCTCGCCAAATGCCAGCATCGGGTTTTGCATGGCGGGACGGCAGGTTGTGTCGGCAGCGATCAACTGCATAGAATCGAAAGCCTAGTTCCTTTTTCTAAGGTTGGGTCACTGGCTTTTTTCCTTTCGATAGTTTCTGTGTGCGGAGAACAACTGAACATTATGCACAGCTCGAAAGCCTGGCACTCATGTCCCGGGTTTTTCCTGTTGTTGTGTACGACAAAGGAGCAATCCTCCACGGTGGCAGAGCGCGGTCAGGTGCCACCAAGACTTTCGATTTGTACAATCTCCAGCACAGGAAGGGGGCGAGCGGACTTTTTGAGGAAGGCCACCTTGAGGAATCTGTTGGTGCATGCATGTACGAAGGTTTTTATTTGCTTCAACTATGTTTATGAGATGCTGGTGGGCTTTTGCACTTTTGAAGGATGTTCGGGTTGCTTGGGGTGCTCATTGTTAAAAGAAGCAGACGTTGTGCCTCCGTAGTTCGCAGTCAGGTTGCGAAGGTGGGAGTTGCAGGACCTGCGTTTGTGCTTTGAGAGGGCGTGGGTGGGCAGCAAGTCTAGCTGGTGCAGGCGCTGGACTTGCCCAGCAGCTGCCCAAATGCCAGACCCTGAGAGTCCTGTGAGATTTCGGAGAATCCTGGAAGATCCTCGCAGCCGAAGCCGTGCTCTCCGTCGGCCCCTAAAGTCAGTGCCACGCCGCCAAGCCCGAGGCCTACAGGAATCTGGGGCTGCCAGTTGCCTCGGTCCTCTCCGAGGAGGAGGACGTTTTGGACGACGAGCGGGTGCGGGAATGATCCTTTGCACGCATTTGCCCTTTCGTGTATTTGGGGGTTTCCGAAATGAGGGGTACCTTATTGGGGCATTATCAGGGAATCCTGCTAGTTGGGGGTTTATTTTAGGGGTTCCCTATCTTTGTAAACCCCCATTTCTGTAATCCGACCGCTAGTCTTGGAAAAAAGGCCTGCTCGACGGAGGAGCCTCCAAAGTCAGATGGTTTGGGGCCTCCATTTTCCCTTCTTTAGGGTTCAGGGTTTAGGGTTTGGGGTTTAGGGCTTGCCTTCTGTTACTGCTCAGGTCTCATGAAGAAAAGGAGGTGTGAGTATTTCAACATGCAGAACCAGCTCGTGTCACTTGGCTCGGGGTTGACCGCCCCGTGATTGCCCTTGATTTTGTCGACCCTTGCCTCCTTCAATGCAAGGAGTGGTGGCGGCTCAATGTGCATCTTTCATAATTCATGCCATGGCTGAGGTCGCTCATCATGACCCTCTCAGGGGTTTTAACCTCCTTCGTGGACAAGGTGGGCTTCGGTTTTGCGAAGCTGAGTTGCGTCACTTGGGTGCATGCGCGCTGGTTTGCTGACCCTCGAACACCTGAGGCCGAGCGCAAGGACGCTTTGGCCGCCACTTTTTCTGTCTTGAACCGCTGGCTTCTGGATCGCAGAGTGTGCATGGCCGCTTTGGCCGAAGGCGGCCTAGTTGAAGTCAGGCTGCGTGCGCAACATCCGAATCCCGTGAGCGATGCTGCGCCCTGCGAGGTCCTTTGTTCCTTCTGGGTACCCACATACCGCCTCATGGCCAGCAAGGAGTTAAACTTGACTTCAGGAACTGCAAGCTATCAGCGTGCATTTCGAGTTGCTCGAGTCATGATGAGCTGTGCTCGGCTCGTTCCATGAATGCGCGAGGCATCCCATTTGTGCCTGTAAGGCTTTGGAGACACCAGGATAGTCTTCACCAAATTCTTTACGTCCATGCCGCTCGATTACAGCCTATGATTTGTCCGGAAAGGGCGGGAAGCATAAAGCTAGTGAAGCACTGGATGCGTCCATGATGTGCCCCTGCGTGGCCGACGAGGGGTGCATGGCATAGGATGCCGGACGAAGGTAGACCTTTGCCGAATTTTTACATCAGCTACGCGTGCGCCCTTCCTTATGACCTATGAGTCGGCGAACCTGGATGAGGCGTGGAGAGCTCCAGACAGTTCCATGCGGGAAGTGTCTCGTGTGTATTGTGCGTCATGTTGAAGGGCCGAACCCTGGCAGCCCGTAGCCGATGGTACATGGGTACTGTTTCCCTCTATGGTTACTCAGAGCTTGTGCATGTCACCCTTTGGTTCCTTTCGCCAGACGTTTATGGCTCTCTGCTCTCGATGTTCTCTGTGGTACAGACCGGGTGACAAGAAGCAGCCCGAACCTTCATCAACCCCTCAACAGCACAAAGCCCTAGAGGTGCTGGATGAGGAGGCCAACAGGGGGGGGGGGGGTCTGGTCCGGGAAGCAGCGCTCGGGATGAGTAGTTTCCGGATTGTTCACTGCTTTTTGCAGGGATTGCAGGATGACATCATGGATGCCATAGTTTGAGGGGCATGTCGATGGCATGTACCTGTTCCACCTGCGATGAAGGCGTCCTCCTCCACCAACGCACACATCTCCCATCAAACGTTGCTGCACCAGCCAATGTGCGACCCTCAGTTTGCTTGTGTTGGCTGTGCTCCTCGACCATCAAGACATGTGATGCGTCAAGTCTTCGAATCGCACGGGCAAGCGCCCACGTAAGTGGACTCTTACTTGGCAGCGCAACTTCTGATGGCACCTGCCAGGAGAAGCGACTAAAGGCTAAGGGCACACACAGCATTTGCGATTACATCTTGCCTTCAGCACTAAATCTAGCCAAGCCTCCTGCGCCAACATGTGCAGTCACACGCTATGAACATCTAGCCGCAGCTAAATATCACTTGGTCACGCACAAGAGCTAGTAAGTCAAAGGTGTAGTCGCAGATGAAACAAACAAGATAGTCACGAACAAGGTGGGCCCCGTTCATGCACCCCAACTGGCAACCCAGGACTGCTGCTGTGCAGCGCTCCGTAGCAACCAGGCACATTCAGCTGTTGCCGCTCTGTGCTTTGTCGCAGGGTGGTCCTGGAGTTGAGATGTTTGGCCTTGGCACACGGTGCTAATTCGTTCTTCTGAATGCAGCCCCTCAGACCCGCAGAAAGACTTTGCCATGGGGGCAGGCTCACGGGGTGCGTGATGACAGAGCTGCGGCGCGCTGCCGCTGCCGAAGAGAGCCCCGACCCTGCGGACACTGTGAATGCAGAGCGGTCTGATGAGGGTGCTTCGGCCCAGACAAGCTGCAGAGACATTCTTGAGCACACTTTGAGAGTCCAAAATAACCGACTTGACATCGGATTTCTGGTTTAACAGTTGCAGGTGCAGTGAGTAGATGTTTTTCGCAGTATGCAGCACAAGCCGACATGTCATATGCTCGCTGAAGGTGATCACCCCTGCAGCTTGCAGGACCTTCATCACTTCATCAAGCAGGCCGCAGTTATACAAGTAAAGCTGTGGGCTTGAACATGGTGCCCGAACCCTGGAGCCCTCCAGCTCTACTGCAGCAGGTCACACCCGACCACTGGCGGTCCTTCAGCTCGCGCATGCCCAAGGCTCCCGCCAGGGAGGAACCAGAGCTGACGAGCACCGTGCCACCGGCAGCAGTCGGTTCAACAGGGTCCAATCGTCAAAAGGGCCCAAGGTTTCGTTAGGGGCATGAAATTGAGATCATTGAGGATGCGGGAAGTGAAAGGGCGCAGGGTGTTGGGTTCCGGGGTGAGCGAGCTGGGATCTTGTGCAGAGTGAACTTTGCAGCAAAGCTCATGCTGGATGGTTCTGCCTTGACTGTTCGGAGATCTCGGTGTAGAATTGGGCCAAAGAGCTGCTAGAATTCGGCTGAGGAGGCGGATCGCAAGCCGCTGAGGACCCGAGACTTAGACGGTTTGGGAGTTCTTGGATGATTCCTCAAATGGTCAGTTATCTGAACCAGGCACCCTACACAGACATAAGGGGCTTTGTCATACAGAGGACCCAATCAAGGGTGTAGATGTTTTTCGGTTGCGCTTTGTTCTTGGGTTCTACTGGCTTTAGGTCTGCCGGCCGTTTGTTGTTTAGGTCTCGGCACCCTGCTCGTGAGCTGCTCGTATCAAACTGAAGGAGCTAATTTGACCCTACGCGCTAGAGGCAGCCATAACCCACTTTGGTGTTTAGATTCCTGCCCGTGTCAGACCTTTACCAACATCCATGATTTCCTTCGCACAGGGCAGCTGCCAAGCAGCGGCGGGATCTGGCAGCTCGGACAAGGCCACCCGGGGCTTCAAAGTTTCAGAAGGCAGAGTTCGGGTCTGAGGCTGGATTTCAAGAGGGTCTGCTAGGGCCTATGCCAGGCTAGATCTGCCATCCCTGCCATCATTGCCCTGTGCAAGGCAGCAGATATGGGGAGAGGCCTGGAAAGACAAAGTCGCTCAGCTGGGAGTACCGGTGAAGAAAACGTGTATGCATGTGGCCCCAAACCAGCCTCTATCCCCTTCCTCGGCACAACTCCGAGATGCGAGAGTGAACAACCGCGCCTTGCACTTCATCAGAGTACTCCAAGTATCCAAGGCCAAAGTGATTTACGACCGAGCTAACTGCCGAGGTCGAGCGAGTACGGGTGGCTTCTCCCTACAGCCGCTATGCCTCGTGGAGCTTGATGCCCTGCTGCCGTGAGCCCGCCCTCAACCTAAGAAGCCCCAACCTCCAACTCCTAAATCCCGAGGCTCAAGTTTGTTCAGGTCCCGAAATCTTCAAGCCCCACATTTTTGCCAACCATTTTCTGCATCTTCATGTTTTCCCCCACTCAATATTTCGAAACTGCCGAGAACGCCTGCTGGAAGATCTGAGAGAGGAGGGCCCTGAGCCTAAACCCTAAACCCTAAGCCCCTAAGCCCTAAACCCTGAACCCTAAACCCTAAACCCTAAGCCCTAAACCCCTAAGCTGCAACCGAGGAACGCGGTGATGGTCAAAGGAGGCGACGACCTCCGCCAGGAGCTCCTGGCCTCGCAGCCCCCTGGGCTTCTTGAGCCCTACTTTCCCTTTTGGGTGCCCGTAGGGTTTAGGGTTTAGGGTTTAGGGTTTAGGGTTTAGGGTTTAGAGAGCAAGAGGGACTACGTGAGTAGCTTCGTGAAGCCTCTTACATTTGGGTAGCCTCATGAAGCCTGTCATCGCATCGACGAGAGTCTCGCGCTCTCACTCCATCCTGCATCTCTAGCTTCGCGAAGATTCCGTGTCTCGCTTCTTCTTCACAACCAGTACAAGACTCAAACGTCGCTAAACCCTAAACCCTAAACCCTAAACCCTAAACCCTAAACCCTAAACCCTAAACCCTAAACCCTAAACCCTAAACCCTAAACCCTAAACCCTAAACCCCTAAGCGCAAGAAAAATCCTTAAGCCTTGTGCGGAAGGGGAAAAGTTCCAAGGATCATCGAGCAGTTCAGCGCAATTTTCCAGGCCCGGCAGCCCCGAGAGCTGGGTCTTTAGGATTTGGGGTGGACGATTGAGGGCGCAAGGGGTTCTACTATATCTTATATCATATATCGTACATAAATAACATATAACATATAGTGTATAGGAAATAGAAAATAACATACATACATAGATTATCGAGTAAAAAAAAGGTGTAATCTACAATAGACTTGCACTGCATATCATATACGATGTATTACATATTTTTCTCATATACGTATGTACATAGTCAAAAGTATAAAATGGGTACTACTTTATGTATCTGTATATATATGTATGTATATATATATATATATATATATCTTATATGTATACATATATATATATATATATAGAGAGAGTATCGTTGTTGTTTTGGAAATGAGATATATACACTGTAGAACGTAGAAGAGCACAGTGACCGAAGCTGCCATTTCCAACCTTCGCTTCACCATGTCTCGTGGGATCAGCCAAAAAGTGTGCATTCTCAAGTGCTCTCAAAGATTCCACTGCAGGAAGCTGGTTTGCCACTTTGGCTGAAGGCCACAAAGGCACCATGCCGGCATCCCACGGTTCTTCTTGGTTGAGATTTCAAGGTGCTCCACTTGCGCCAAAAGGCAAGCCCCGGCCCTTTCGCCCCATTTAGCGCCAACTAAGCATCCCACGCCCTCAGCCACTTTGAGCATAACGCTGAGCTCCCTTTGCCTGGTGCACTTAAAAGCGTCAGGTGAAAACCCAAAGCTTGAACGTGTAGGTAGGCTGCAAAAAGTGCAAGAGTCGCTGCAGACTCGAGGTTCTGGTGACCAGCTCAACAAATGGCTTTCTCGAGTTTATCCAGGACTCGATATCTGTTGATGCTCCTTGGCGACACCTTGGGCATTCCTAACCCAGCTCCCCACCTTGCTGCTCCCGTCCAGCTGCTTACAAGTATGCGCAGTGCGTTCCACGTGTGCCATGTACCTCAGGGTTTTTGCATGTTGCGCTTGCAGATGCAGACCCTGAGCACCGAGCGTCACGAGGCAATGAAGAAGCTCTACCCGGGCAAAACTTTAGCAGACATCTTCAGAGTGGCCTTTGCGGACAGATTGTGTCTCGGCTTCGGGTTCAGGGGCAAACCGACGGCTTCGACATATCACACGTTCGTCATGCGAGGTTCGAAGCCAAGAAGAACTTCATCGAAAGTTCGGCAGCTTACTCCCTGGTCGTCTATTTCTTGCAGGCCGGGAATCCCCGATGGTTGACCTGTGATTCATCTCTACATGGTCACTTATGTCACCTTTTTTGCGCAGCCCAATGGGATGTAGCGTGGTAGCCGTAGTAAGGAGAGAGTCGTGCTGCATGTATCGGCAGGTGAAAGATCGCCACAATGGCAACCTTATGCTGCTGACCAGCGGCCATGTGGTCCACATAGACTTCGGGCCGCTTGGGCTCCTGAGCATTCGCCCCCCCCCCCCCCCCCAAAAGCAGGATTAAAGGCTTTAGCATATGCCCCAGGGCCTCAAAGAGGCTGAAACCCAAGTCCATGGGCAAAGACTGATCCCCCTCAGCCTGAGACTAGGACATGAAATCCCCTTGAAACCAAACCCGAAGGTTCATGCTCTCCAACTCGCCCGGTGGGAACATGGCCTTTGAGAACTCGCCTTTCAAGCTGACACAGGTCGGGTTATGGCTTCAGAAAGTCTAGGGTTTGGGGGCAAAAGGGCCGGCCTGGGATTGGCCTCAGGATTCAGCACGATGATCACGGCGCAGCAAGACGGTTGCGGGGGTCGGGGGGTCGAGGCGTTCCACACAAGAGCGATGTCTGGGGTTTAGGGTTACCTAGAAACAAAATCACCTCCACCTCTGGGTTTAGGGTTTAGGGTTTTTAGGCCATGTTGAGCTACCAGTCATGAGTTGCCTGGGCTGTCTGTGCTGTTTGCGGCAACAAAAACCTTTGGTATGGAGTCAGCTCGAAGTGAGCTGGGTGGTCTCTGGCCCTTACAGTCCTGGGGCATCGAACTGCCACAACTCTGGTGTCTTGCACAAGCGCGGCTCCGAGTCTGAGAGCCCCTGCCCCCTGAGTTCAAAGACTGTGCCTCTCAATCCCGCAGTTTGCCTGAACCCTAAACCCTAAACCCTAAACCCTAAAAACAAACACCCTAAACCCTAAACCCTAAACCCTAAACCCTAAACCCTAAACCCTAAACCCTGAACCCTAATCATGGCCACCTCTTCCAAAGTCTTTGCCTCCCGACCTTGAGCAACCTCTCAATCCCGCAGTTGCCAGGAGATCCTGGATGTCATGGATGGCGAATGCTCCGAGCAGTACGAGTATTTTCGCGGCTTTGCCTGCATTCAGGACTCCCTAAGCGCTAACAGCCCCCGAAGTTCGACTGGCTCCTTCGAGTTGAGTGAATTCTTCCTTAGCCTTCCCGGTGTCCCCCGGAGCGCAGTGCCGAGCTGAGAGCTCAGGGTCGAGTAGCCCCCTAAGAGGGCGTGGCTGTTCATTGAAGGCTTCGGCTTCGGCATCTCAGTTGGGGGGGGGGGACCGCATTGGAAAGCTCCAGCTGTGTCAGAGGTCAAGAGTTTCTTGAGTGGCTTGTAACAAAAAGGGTGGAGGGGCTTGGGTTTTGGCTTAGGGCCGTAGTTGAGTGGTACTTTGGCACGGCCCAGCGTTTAGATGAGCGAAGCCCCGCCCAAATGGAATCAAAAAGCCATGCCAAGTCAGAAGTGCATCCCCGTGTGGGCGCTCGAGAATGTGACTTTCGTGGATAGATTAAATAAGTTTCAACTGACTGGCGAGGTTCCTCTAGTCGCCTTCAAAACCGCCAAAACTGTCAGACCATCAACATATATCAGGATGGCTTGGTGGAATTTAAGGGGCTGTTTTCCTTTCAGGGCAGAGCGGGGGTTCACAGGCGCGCTGCGTGGTTTCTGTTCATGGCGCTTCTTGCACTTCGCGTTGTGCGTTCTAAAGGTACGTTGCTCATCCGCGGCTTTCTGGAAGCCCGCAAGCACATGGATCGGATCGTTTTACAGGCACCGGGATGTTGGAATTCACGTGCCCCAAACATGACGTACCCCCCCCCCCCCCCCACACCTTCCGAAAGAGGATGGCAAGGGCCATGTCATGTGTCTGTCAACATCAGGAGAGCAAAACGTGAGTGTCAAACAAAGCCGCTCTTCACGGAAACAAAGCAGACGTGCCAGAGTATGCCCGAGTGCGAGGCGAAAGCATTACAGCCCTGCTGAAGCGTTTGTAGCAGCGATTCGTGCCTCCGTGCCTTCTCATATTGTAGAATCTACAGCCTGTAGAGGCGGATCGAATCGCCGCAGCTTGGAGTGATCCATCCTAGAAGGCTGTCATCTGCCAGGTGCGAATGATGCTTACTGGCTCGAAGATGCCTTGCTTCCGCGAGGGCGCCGACTTCGTGCTGTCCACATTGCAAGATAGGCAAGTGAGGGGGCTTCGAGCCGGAAAAAGGGTTTAGGCTGGGGGTCGACCCGACTTGTTGTTTGGGCCACCGCAGGTTCTTCTGCAACCTGACAGAAGAAGCTTGTATCTTGGCAAGCTTTTGGGCCCCGGCTGCGGAACAGGCACGTTGCTGGCTGTCAAAACGGGCTGAAGCAAGGTATAGAGAAAATTGTCGAATTGATTGACACGTCCGTGAACAATTGGCGGACGATCCAATACGCCCCTTGACGTGCAGGTGCTTCCACGCATGTCAGTCTGCAAATGCGGGTGCAGAGGTTTGCGGGATTGTTGGTGGCAAGCCAAGGACAATTATCAGCGCTTGGTGAATGGAATCCTTTGACTTTCGCAAAGTCACAAGGCATCTCAAGCCACTTGTACAGTCGTGAATGCTGCATGGATTTGCGGCGCCTCAACCGTTTTGTCCCCAGATGTAATCGCACGTAATCATTGAGGCTTGGCTTTGATAGAGCGTTCTCAGCAAATCCAGCTTGGCATCCTCCTAGCTTTCACCCAGAAAGGAGCGCAGGTACGCTCATCCTCGATTCAAAAGAGCCGGGAGAGGATATGTCGATGTCCGTCAGATGTGTATTTGTGTAGCAAGTCTCGACCATTTTTGGCCGAGAAGATCGTTAACTCCGTGCTATAGCTCCGTGCTATAGCTATGTGGTCGAACCTAACTCCGTTGTCCATGCGCACGTGGCGAGAGCGAGACGAACAACTTCCCACTGTAAGACCCGGACTGCCCATGGCCAATATCAACCCTGGGTTTAAACCCCGCGATGTGGACTCGCCCCAGCTGTGCAGGAGGCAAAAAAGACCCTAAAACCCTAAGCCCTAAACCCTGAAACCCCAAACCCTAAAACCCTACACCCTAAAACCCTAAAACCCTAAACCCTAAAACCCTTAGCCCTAAACCCCTAAACCCCTAAACCCCTAAACCCCTAAACCCCTAAACCCTAAAAACTCCTAAAACCCTAAGCAGCCGTGCCAGACGAGGTCTCAATGTCGAGCGTGTTGGCCATGGTCCTGGGCCACGAGCTCCTTGGCCTCGTGCTTTGAGGCCCTCATTTGTGAGTTGGCAGACATTAGGGTTTAGGGTTTAGGGTTTAAGGATGTAGTTTCACATGCCTCGATTGCATCCTCTTGATTTGGGATTTTGGGTAAGGTCGGAGGACATCGTAGCCTATGAGATTCGAGACGTTTGATCCTGAGTTCTCGATGCCTCGATGGATGGAGGAGACACCAGATCGGTGGACAGAGTCCACGAAGAAGCATCAAAGCCCATGTACCAGACATCGCTTCTCAGGTTTTCTTCCCCATGGGCTTCCTGCGACTGTTCGACGGCGGGAGTCCTGGAGCCTCCTTGCCATCGTGCTCGAAAGAACAGCTCCCTGGCAAAACGAGGTCCAGCCATGAATGGCCAGGACCTGTGGCGATCAATGTCGCGGCCGAGGCATGTGCACCCCGCGGAACACACTGTGGACCGCATGTGGACACTGCGGACCCTAAACCCTAAACCCTAAACCCTAAAGGCGAAACCCTAAACCCTAAACCCTAAACCTGGTTGCCACTTCCAGGAAAGGTGGCGGTATGATCCTGGGAGCTGTTCTTCGCCCGAGGCCTCTGCATGTCTTCGCTTGAAACACGTGGGACCTGCTTGTAGATGGTTCTTAGTAGGGAATGAGGGAATTAGGGCCCTATGAAATCCCTTAAAGGGTGTGTGTGTGTACATGTGTATATATATATATATATATACGGAGCGCCCTCATTCCCTCAAAAGAGCCAGCCTAGATGCATGCGCTTCACCCTTCCGCACTCTGACCCGCGCCGACGGCCTGGCTTCCAGCTCCATTCATACCATCCCCCGATTATCCGATACAGTACTACCAGTAGCTGCATGGCAGCTCAGCTTCATGGAGACACCAGGCGGGAGATCTGGAGAAGATTCGACTCAAGTCACGGAGGAATTTGACCAGCATGAAAGGCTTTGATGTTCTTGACAGACAAAAAGTCCTAACAACATAAGCAATCGAGGCCCTGTAGACCTTGGAGTGGAGTCTTGCGGAAGTGTGAGCTTGTTTCAGTTTAGAAAAGCCCAGCTCCTGTTGTCCTACCCAGAGAAGCCTCCCACCCGAAAAGGATCACCCTGAAACCCTGCTCAAAGCCCCCGAAGACCCATCTCATCTCCCTCCCTCCTTTCCCCCTCTCCCTCTCTCCCCCCCCCTCCCCACCCCCTCCCCACCCCCACCCCCTCCCCACCCCCACCCCCTCCTCCCCAAAGCCCATCCAGGCTTCCAGGCAGTCCTGGAGGCATGTTTGCGGAGGCGCCCCAAGGGTCGGTCTGAAGTTTGCGAGGGCGCTGCTGAGTTTGCCGCGTCTTCGTCTTCTCTCAATTCTCTTACGAGGTTCGTGTGTGAAGGCGCTTCTTTTTCTGGTCCAACAGGGCTGAGGGCGAAAGCTCTTGGAGGTGCAGATGTGTTGGGGTGGTTGGTCCAACGAGTTTAGGCTTCTGGCAGCAGCGGCTTTGGCTGTGTAGCTTTGTGCAAGGACCGCTTAGGAAGCTTAAATCTCCAACTCCTACTCCGCGCCAACTGTGGCAGGACGACAGGCCCCACGCTCAGCCAGAGTTCAAATCCTTGGAGATAGATGAGGGTTCACGAAAATAGGGGACCCCTGATATAGCCCCTCAAAAAGTAGGATTCCACCCAATGAGGTACCCCTATTTTCGGAAACTGCCAGATGCCTTCTGCGACGTGACTAGCCTGGTAGCTGGCAGTCAGCGGGCAGGGAAAAATCTGGAAGGTTGATGCTAAGCTGTACAACTGCAACCAAGGAGTCACTTGCTCGACAAAGATGAAACTAGGCCTGTTCTGCACCTGAGGACTGCTTGATGGACTGTTCCTGCAGACGACTTCATGCCAGCATATCAAGCTCATACATCGCTGTCTGTAGCGAATGTTGACGCTCAGCCTTGTGCAGTCGAAGCTGCTGGGGCCGGCACCGCTACAGTCTGCTGGCAACAGCCGTGGTCCTGTTTGTCTGTGCAGCCGGGCCCTTGGAGGAACCTGTGGTCGGGTGCAGGGCGATGCAGCTGCTGCTGAGCCAGCTTACAAGCTCTTCAAGGGGGCAACAGCTTGCGCGCAAGACCAGACCACCTCTCAGGTTGGGTTCACCATGCACTACCTCGGGACCTCTTCAGAGTGAGGGAGATGTTGCCAATGCCAGACAGGGAGAGACGTTGGGGTCTTGGCTTGCCTCCTGCGCCTCGTTGCTGGGAGTCGAAAGCTGTGCGCAGGACGATGGCTCGCCAGGCGCACACTCTGCCACGCCTCCAGCTTTGCAGGGCCTTTGCGCGATCTCCCTGTGGTGTCCTTGCTCAGGCCGCTTTGGTTAACCAGAAGTGTCTGTTGAATCTCCAGAACAAATCCCGAAGCCCTAAGCCGACTCGTGTATTCCTCAAACCGCGTTGTGTTCGAAGCCGACAGATAACCCTGGGCTGATGCCGTTGAAACCTGACAGGGGCCCTGCTGTTGTTGCTACGGTGTGGGGGTTTCCCTCCTTTTGCCTGGTTGATGAGTGCTGTACTGCGCCCAAGCATGATTACACCCAAAACATAAGCAGATACACACCAAGAGACACACACACATACACACACACACACACACAGATATGTTCATGTACATATATATATATATATGTATATCCAGACATCAGTATAAATCGCAAAAATAATTACATAAATGAATACATGTCAAAAGACATGGAAATGTAAATATACACAAAGGCAAATATAAGCGTAATAACATATAAATATAAACACAAAAATAAATGACAGACATATATCTAGATATACAGAAATACATATATATATATATATAGATACATATACATATATACATATAGATAGATATATATCTTTACATATATATATATATATATATATACATATGTATGTATACCACAGACGAAAGCCTGAAGCCCTAGGCCCCTCCTCAACAAGCCGTTGTCCGACCAGCGGCGCTACCAGCATGGGGCCTACTTGGTTGAGGAACCCTGTACCCACCCTGAAACCTTGAAACCCTAGCCCTAAAACCCTACAAACCTCCTGGTGCCTGTGGAGCTAGCCCACGACAAAGAAATTTTCAGCAGCCCTGTGGAGACCCTCTGAAATAACCCTTAAATAACCCCCGCAGTGTGCGAGAGTGGGCGGGGGGCAAAATCATCCCTAAATCCCGCGATCCTTCTTAGACTCTTAGACTCCAAGAGGCAGTAGTACTTGGGCACCCGGGATGGCGTGTGGTTAACGTGCCTTAGCTCCTGTGTCCGTCGGAGTCCCCTAAGCCCTACCGGCTCATGGCACCTCTAGTGGTACCAAGGAATATTGCAAGTTTAGGGTGTTCAGCTATTGCATGAGAGAGATTGGCCCCGACAATATGCAGGTACACGGAGCTGCCGAATGGTCTGCATGTGTTGAACATCCAGGATCGATTCGGATGCTTTCCATGAGAAATAGATCCAGAGAAAGCATTGCAAATTCATGGGCGCTTGAACAGCGTGAGGCCTATGCTCATTCCTAAAGCGAAACCCTGAAACGCCTGAAAACTGTCAGCCTTACGACTGGGCAGAACGGGTTTCTTTGCGTTTTCGCCAGCGTGGGGATCGGTTTGCGCATAGAGGATGGCCTTCTGGTGGTTCGCCCTTTCGATTCTCGCCGTCTTTCTTGACTTGGTATGTGGCTTTTTGCGCTGATGTCTGATCTGCTTAAATGTGCTTCGTGTTTTCCATTTTTTGAGACTTCCGCAATTCTTATTGATTGTTTCGTGCTGGTTTCTGACTTGCGCTTGTCTAGTGCCTGCTCGTTGCTTTCGATGTTTTGCTTGTCGCATATAGCTTTTCACTTTAGCCGTCGGTAGCACGGCTTGGTCGGCTTCCGACTCTTTTTGTGCTTCTCGTCTCGCCTCCCCCCCCCCACTCCCCTCCCTCCCTGAAACCTGGGCAGCGAAAGCAGCTGTGGAGAAGATGCGGGCCCACACAACCCAAACGAAGGTCCTTTCGTTTGGATTGTCATTCATTGTTATGTTTTGTGTTGCGTGCTTTCTTAAGGGATGCTGCGCCCTTTCTAAGCATCGCTGTGCGAGTTTCGCGCCGGTTCTTCGTTCTGCTCACGTGCTGGGCCTTCTGGCAAATTGCTAAAAGACCACACGCCATGCGGTTTGACGTCAAGGGGAGGGAACTGCCCCGTACATCCTGGGAGGACGAGAACAGCCACCAGATGGCCATGGCCATGGTCTGCACCTGAGAAGGGTGAGCGAGGGATCGGCTGTGCCAGATATGGCCGGGGGGCATCCTGGGCTTTGGCCATAAACGTACAGTTTTGGACTCGGGTGCTTGTGAGATCTCGTGACAGAGTGTGGACAGGAAGGAAACTTGGCTCTTCCAGCGTGTCCTGACCCTTTCCGGTGCACTGTGGTGAGCCAGTGAGCCATGCCCGCCCCTGTCCATGTGGTTGTCAAGAACATGGCGGGAGAGGATGTCTTGGGCCCCCTGTGGTTCGCAGACCCGCCCTCGGTGGACGAGCTACGCAAGAAGGCTGCGGCACGAGTTCCTGGCTCTCGGTTCCAGCTGCTCCGTGGGTCCTCGGTACTCAAGGGGGATGAGGTGGTGCGCGGGGGCACTTCGGAGAATCCTGTGGCGCTGACTCTGATCATCTTGCCCGCGGCGGGTGCAGACGCAGGTGCGGAGGAGGTTCGTCCACTGGTATTAGAGGATGCCATCGACGAGCAGATGGGGATTCTGGTGCGCGACCTGCATGCCGGCAAGGACTCCCTGCTTCCGCTTCGGTACTTCTTGGCAGCGGACGGAAAGGCGCACCTGGGGGTGCTTGCATCAGAGGCCGCCCGCATGGTGGGCGCCGACCCCCTGGCCTTTGCCTCCCTCGCGACCATCTCCGCCATCTTCCCGGGTGAGGAGCAGACGGAGGCGGCAAGGCGCGACTCCATCGAGCTCTGGGAGGTCACCGGCGGCGCTGCCCGAAATGGGATTGTGGTCCGAAGCGGCTGGTCCCTGGCCTCCCCGGAGCTACCTGAGAGGCTGGGCACGGGAGCAATCGTTCAGCAGAAGGAGATACGCGGAGAACGCCTTCTCTACGGCAAGGCAGGGAGCTGGAGCTGCTGTAAGTTGGTGTGAGTGTTGTTCCTGGGCATCCCCAAGAAAACGCGGAGCTAGGCAATGTTGAACAGCCCCTGAAGCCCCATTACAGATCCCTAATTACCCAAGTCCCCCTCAGAGCATCGAAACCCTAAGTCCCAAGCCTTAGAACCTAAATCGTCAGTTCAACTACTATGAAGCACTAGTATCAAGCCCTCAAGCGCCGAGCCCCTAGAACCCCAAATCCGAAAACCCCATTTTGGTGTCAACTTGGGGAGCCCGGAGGTCTCCGGAAGCGGGCCGCCGGAGGGCTGGGTCTCTCTCCGCTCACGCGGGCAGGGGCTCCTGGCCAAGAGGGCCGCCAAGAAGGCTGGTGGTTGAGGTGTCGGGTGGGTTGGGGGAGCCGTCCTCCCTCGAAAAAAACAGAGCGTCAGGTTGCGCTTGGGAGTTTTGGTTGCACTAAAGCTCTAAACAGCCCCCTTCATACCGGAGGAGCCCCACCGGGCCGTGGTAAAACTCCTGCACCTCCACACCGCCCTGGCCACGGCCTCCGCAGACTGGAAGCGCAGGTGCCCCACTTTCGGGCCATGCTTGGGGGATTGAGGGATATCGAGGGCTGTAGGATGTCCAGGGAGGGAATTTGAGGGTTGGAGCTTTTGAGGCTTTGGCTAGCGGCTAGCTGGGTTCTCAAGGTTTTAGGGCCTCTCGTTTCGGATTCTTGGGTCACTTGGCATAGGAGGGTCAATCTGAAAAGTAGTTGATCGATTTTGTACGCTTAAGAGCTTTATCTGATGCTGCGGCTATGGGGTAACCTTTAGGCGTTATTGACATTGACATCAAATTATAGGGTAAACTTTAGGCTTTCTTGACATGGCAAGCAGAAGTAAGCAGAAGTTCAGGCACCCAGTTGTGGAGCTCATCCAAGAAATCTGCAGCCGACTCGAGTACTTGGCGTTGACTGCTCTGCCTACTGACTCCCGGGCAAACGAGGCTTTCACAGAGGTGAGGGACCAGTTTTCAGGGCTCTGGAACTCTGGCTAACTTAGACTCTGTCAGAGATCTGCGCAGTTGCGCAACACGTCAACGTGGGGCAGCTTGCAAGCCGGCCGTACAAAAGCCACTGCAGATGCTTGCCAGGAAGCATGAGCGCTTGACATGACGTCACTGAAAGAGCCAGCTTCGGCAACACCTGGAAACATGGGAAAGCCATGCTGAACTCCATCGCAAAGTCCGGCCAGCTTTGAAGCATATGCACATCAGAGCCGCTGCCCGTAGCTTCGGTCACGGCTGACGTTGGTCACTGTGTCCAGGGCCTTCGGCTTGCCGAAGGCACCAAAGGAAAAGCCGTCTTTGCCATGCCACGAGGACATGAAGTGTGCGGTTGAGGAGCGCAGCACAGTGGCTTCAGAGTGGCTGTTAGAGCACGTTGAACGAATCGGGGCGCTCGGACAAGTGAATCACGGAGTCAGGCAGCAGCGGTGTCGACCTCCGAAGAGCGCAATTCTAAAATACCTCATGTGGGGCTTCAGCACAATCTTTTGTCAAAAAAGGCCGAGCCGAGTGGGTGCTGGGATCCAACTCCATGCATTCGGTGTGGTGGGCGAAGCAGCATTCTCAAGAGCAGAGTTCCATCCTGGTTGGCGGGCAGTACGTGTTGGTAGGTGCTTTCGGGAGACTGGTGCTCTAGATTTCGATGGTAACACCGGCCGCCAGGGTTTCTTCACCGCAAATCTGAAGCTCAGACATCTGCGCCAGCCAGGTCATTGACGCTAAGCCTCGCAACATCTTGCAACTCCTCAATCCCCCCAAAAGCCAAAACCAAACCTAAACCACCCATGGGTGCTAGGAACTAAGCCCATCATGGCGCTCGAGGCCCCAAACAAAATAGCCAAGCTCCCAAGTAGGAGGCAATCACATAAGCCTTTATATATATATATATATATATATTATACACACACACAGGTACTATACATACATCTCCCAAGCCGAGTGGCAAGGCTCGACGCTGACAATCCCGTGAGCCTGGTATTAAACTGCAGTTTCCGCACACTGTCATTTTCCATGTCTGTGCAAGATTCTCTAAGATGTGTATGTAAATAATACATATAGATTATATATATATATATACACTTACACATATATATATATATATATACTTATATATATATATGTATATACATACATATATATATATATATATATATTAATATCTCCGTCTGTCTCTCTTTCTCGCTCGCTCTCTCTCTCTCTCTCTCAGTTTGTCTCTTGCTTTTTATCTCATGATCTTTCGACACATGCATAGTACATGCGTACATACACACCTGTATAAGTAGTAGATAAAACAGAAAGTAAAGAGCTATAAGCATAGATATAATGTATTCGTAAAAATACAGACCCCGAGGCTGTAAAGGCCGGCAGCCACGACGACCCACGCCAGCTTCCAGGCGTTGAGGGTTTGCCCTGGCAGGCTTTTGGATGCTTTCGGAGGGTGGGGCGGCTCGATCTAGCCTTGTGACACACCCCGATGACAGGCAAGAGAAGGAATGTTCGGGTTCATGCTTTGGCGACGCGCTTCAAGAGAACCTGTGCGTTTGTTGTTGTTGTTGTTGCTGCAAGTCCTGCCCCCTGATCCTTTCATCTTACTTCCTGTACACTGCCCCCCCCCAGGACTGGCCCACTTTTGCGAGCACATGCTGTTCCTGGGAACGGAGAAGTACCCCGAGAACAGTGCGCCCTGGCAGCAGGTCAGGCAACTGCAGAGGAGCAGAATCTTGACTGCGTAGGCCTCGCGCCCGACCTTACCAAGATCGTAGCAACTTCAGTCGGAGCTGCGGGTCCAAGCAGAATCTCTGACCAATCCTGCCAGCTTGAAACCGAATCTCTAACGGCCACGCCCACAGAGTCAGCTTCAGCCTTGCGATTTCGTGCAGTCCCTGAGCGCAGGGCTTCGATCAGTTCCTCATGAAGTGTGCAGCCCATGCAGTAGGGACAGCTTCGTCGCAACCGGTTGAAGCTGCAGGTTGCAATGTTCTGCCATGGGGTCACGGTGGGTCCGAAGGGGGTGCAGGATTGAGGGGCATTTCTCTGACAGCTGTCCTAAGAGAGGTACGGTGGATCTTCCAATGCCTTCACAGCTTCAGAGGCGAGTGCCCGAGCAAAGTAGGCAGAACAAATGTGTCCAGAGCTATTTTCATGAGGCGCAGGAGGTACTCGTAATTTTGTTGAACTAAGCATCAGTTGATGTTTCAACGTGCAGAAGGTGAATGTTGCAGGCACGGGCTTTTGAGCCTGTAGGGTCCACTGGGAGGTCACAGTGTACTTCGCCGCTGCGTCATCAGACGCTGCACGCGAGGCTTGCAGAGACAGTGAATACAGTTGCATAGCAGCGTCGTCTCTGCCCTGCTGTGGGGAGGGGATCAACTGTTTCAGGCTTTCATGAAACGTGAGAGTGCACTTTGTGCTTGGGCATTTTCCCTATGGCATGCATCCGCCCACAAAATGATCTTTCCTCGTGGGCCGCGTTCCGTGACGGGCCGTGCTGCACCACAGCCATGTCAGGGTTTGGATCGATTCGCGGACTTCTTTCGCGCCCCGCTCTTCAAGAAGGACGGCGGCTAGTCGGTCACAGGTCCCCTAAGACTGGCCCCTGGTCAAAAACCAAACTTGACTCTACCTATTCGCCCGGGCTTTTGCTCCCCATACTTGCAGGGTTCCTAGGTAGGATAAGGGGGACCCTTGAAAGAGAACCCTTCTGAACCCTCTCCTGGCTCTCTTAGACACTGACCTTATTGAGAGGGTCTATATCCCCAAGGGTCCGCTTAATCCTATCCCCTAGGGGTGGGACGGTGGGACCTTTTAATTTGCAAGAAGAGTTTAACAGTTTGCAGCGGTACCCTTAAATCCCAGAAACTCCACAAAGGCCACCCGAGACCCAAGCGTGCATTTAGGGTTTCAGGGCCAAGGGTTTGGCTGTCGATCCCTGAACCCTAAGCCCTAAGCCCTAAGCCCTAAGCCCTAAGCCCTAAGCCCTAAGCCCTAAGCCCTAAGCCCTAAGCCCTAAGCCCTAAACCCTAAGCCCTAAGCCCTAAACCCTAAACCCCACGCCCTCAACCCTAGTGCTTGAATCCAGCCTTGGCATGGATTTCTGGGTTGGAGAGGGCGTGTTTTGACTCGTGGCAGCTACAAACCCTAAACCTTGTAAGAGGTGGGCGCACCAAGCGGCAAAGCCCAAGTCTGCCGCCTTGAAGCCCGTTTCAGCCTCTGCTTCAGATATCCTCACGGCTCAGAAGCCCCCCTGAGCCCCGAAACCGCGAAACCCCTAAACCCTTAAACCCCTAAACTCCTGAACCCCTAAACCCCGAAACCCCTGAACCCCTAAACCCCTAAACCCCTGAACCCTAAACCCCACCCCTGAACCCTAAACCCTAAGCCCGAAACCCTACACACCAGAGTGCCAAAAACATCAGAGTCCCTAGCTTTTGCCGCCTGCAGCCATGGCGTAGCCCTTATGGCGGATCAGGCCCGCTGCCTCGCCGTGAAACGGCGCTTCGGCTTCTGCTGATGTGGGGAGGGTCTCGACGGGGAGGTTCATGGGAAGCAGGGTTATAGGTATGGCAAGGATACGTATAACCCCTTTTGGGGCACTCAGAACCCTTCTTATAGCTACCATGGACCTCCAAGTAGAGGGATTCGGCGCTTTCAGGGTTTTGGGGGTTTTAGGGGTTTGGGTTGAGAGCTGGAGAGTCTGGGGCAGAAAGGAGGATTTGTCTTTCGAAGGATTTGGGGCGTTGGGGGATTTAATGGCTTTCGGGGTTTCAGGGGTTTAGAGCTGGAGGGTTTGCGAGCTGGGAGATCTTAGTGTGCGTTTCAGGTTCATAGCGACAGGAGGCTTGGGATTCAGGTTTGAGGGTCAACATCTATCGTCAAGTTTTGTGGATTTGGGGTTTCAAGCGCAGGATTTGGAGGTCGATGTTTCAGGCCTTTGTTCGGTGGAAGGTCAACGTCACAACATGCCATGGCGTCTCCAACTGGGTCCGATGCACATGACACGAGTGGCTTCAGCCATGTCGTTTTCGAATTCCAGGAGTCTACAGGCAACCTCTTAAGCCGGAACTTGCGGGCTGAGAAAGCCTGAGTCACCAGGTGCCTCTCTGACATCGAGGTCGCTGCAACTTGTCCTGGTTTGCATGCTTGGAGCAGCGGGTCCTACGAGTCATACGGTGACATCTCCACATGTTTCGACGCCTTTGGGAATTGAAGATGTCAGTTGCAATCAGACTCCCAACTCCAGCTTCCGCATCGGGCTGAGGGTGTTTGCCAGACTTGCCTTTCAGGATTTCATAGCAGTGGACCTGGAGTTCTCGGGCCTTTTTGTGGAGCAGCAGCGGGGCCCGCAGACGCTGGAGGCGCGAGATCGCCTTGTTTGGGATGGGCTAGTACGGGCCCCTTTCAGATCAGCACGGGTGGAGCATGTGGGCCCTGAGGCCTACTTCGCCCGCTGCGTGGAGAGCCGCTTGGGCCCTTGAGTGCACATGGCCTTTGTTGGACCGCCCTAACGCGTCTACCAGAAGACCCCCAAGAACCCCAAGAGCGCCCATGACACGAAAGCAGGAGCACATGGAGCATGCAAATCGAAACGCGCTCTTTCCCCAGGCGTTCCCAGGTTCCTGGCCCTGCAGCTTGGCCTTTGCTGCGTCCAGTTCCAGGCAGAGAAGCAGGTCTGGGAGCTTCGATGCTCGGCAGGGCATCCGGCATCCGGGTTCGTTCGATAGCCAGACAAAGGGGCCGCCGCAGAGTCAAACGACCCAAGGAACGCATGAGTTCGATCTTTGGCCTCAAGATCGCCGCCTCTTCATGGTGGATTTGCAGTCGCTGCAGTTTCTTCGCGTGCACGGATTTGCGCCTGGTCCGCACGGTGAGATGTGAGTGCTGCTTGTTGGGCGTGCAGTTTGTGCTTGGCTCGCGAACCATCCACCTCTTGCTAGAATGTGAGCTCCAGCGCAAGCCATCCAGGACTTCAATGCCTTTCTGGAGCGGGCTCATCCTTACTCGAGGAGCCTCTCACTTGCTGGCAGCTGGTCTTCGCGAGTATGTAGGGGTGTTCGAAAAGGGCGCAGGGCTAGGGCTGCTGGAAGAGGGATCGTGAAACGATGCTGCGCCCCTTGAGCTCCAAATGCACACCAGGCTCCCACCGCTGGGCCACAAGCTCGCGGGCAACGCGCATGCGAAGGCGACGCCAGTCCTCCAAGCGCTGCGGGATGCTAAGGCGCCGGGATGGGCATCCGGGCAAACCAAAACACCCCAAGGCTGTTCCACAGACCTCTCACAGTTTGCAGTGTAGACTGCCGAGCCCTGATGAATCCCGGCGTCATCGAAGTCTACTGAACTGTGAACATGTCGGTGGGGCTTGTCGTCGGGCTTGGCTTTGGGGCATTGTTATGGGGTGTCGGACCTGGATCGAAGGTTCCTCTGGTCTTGCACAATGGCTTGCACCTTGTCCGCAGGTTCCAGGTGTGTTCACTTGTTAGCGCAATCCCTCAACCCCACAAGCTCTGAACCCATCTGCTGTAAACGGTTGCAAAGCCCTATAAGCCCCGCAAGAATGTACAGAGTCCGAAAACTCTGCAAGCCCCAAGCCCCCCAAGTTTTGTGGACTCTCAGCACAAGTTTGGCTTCAAACGTGTTGATGCCTGAAACTCCTAGACCCTAAAAGCCGATCCTGGCCTCCAGTGTTGAAGACTTCGGCGAGATGTTATCGCCCTTTTGCTTCTGGATACTTGCTTTGCTTGTCCGAGCTGTGAGCGATTTGAGCCCTAGTTCACACACCTATCACTCAAGAGTCGTGTAGCCTAGACGGGCCTTCAGGCAGCTTGTGTGTGGAAAGCCCTTAAACCCTAAACCTCAACCCATCAAGCAAGTCTTGGGAGCCTTTGCAAACCTTGACCTAGACCAGCTGCGTTCCTAAGACAGAACCATAGTCCTCGCACGCCATGTCGTGGAACGGATGGGGGTGGTCCTGGCAGCAGCAACCTTGGGGGAGCAGCAGCTGGTGGTCGGACCCACCCGAGCCTTACACTAATTGGTGGTCCCAATCAAAAGTTACCGAGGAGCTCGGGAACAGGGTGTCTGACGGCGACCGGGAGCAGAGCAAGACTGTCAAGCCGCAGGAGCGCACACAGGATTCGGTGACAGCGGTTGCGTCACCGCCATCAGGGACGGCGGAACACCTTCCTCAAAGCGTGCTTCGAGCGGCGGATGCCCCACCTCCTTCAAGCCCTCGGAGGAGCCCGCCACAAGAGCCTGTTGTGTGCCCCGATAAAGCGGCAGCTGGCGGTGCGACTGAGCCTCCGGCTGAGGAGTGGTGGCTGGGCGTGGACGAGGCCACGAGGCAGCGGCTGATGGAGGAGCTGCGTGAATGGCTACGGGACATAAGTCCCGCCTTCACGTGCTACTTCCGCATCATGGAGGAGAACTACGACACGGTCGACCAGATCTGCCGGCTCTATGTCGTAGAAGAGGAAGGCAGAGATTCCAGAATGAACAAGCGGCTCGACCCGCTCTTCTTCGAGGACAACGGCATCACCGACCCAGAGCATCAGCAGTTGTTTCGCCAATGGTTTGCTTCAAAAGGCTGCCTTCCCGTGAGCAGCAGCCATAACAGCAGCAGCAAGGTGTCAGATCCAGATCTACCTGCCCTCCCTTCCCAAGCTGCAGCGAAACCGGAGCAGGCGGCTGCTCAACAATCGTCACTTCCTCTTCCGCGTGAGTCAGCCAGAGGTGTGGCTGGTGTGGCTGGTGCTGCTGGCAACGGCGCACGTGGCGAGGATCCCTGGACCACAGGCAAAGATCCATGGGCCCAGGGCCGCGAAAATGCCAGCGCTCGGAGTCGCTCGCAGCCGGCATCTCGAAGCACAGCCCGGACTCTGAGGAGTTCTGGCGCGGAGTCCCTGAACCGCGCCACGGAGCGCGCCACGGAGCGCGCCACGGAGCGCGCCACGGAGCGCGCCACGCAGCGCGCCGCGTCGCTGCGGCCCGTCCGACCCCACTCAACAGGCGCTGCAGCCGAGGAGCCTCTCAGAGGCCCCGTCGAAGCGCCAGCAGATTCTGCCGATGCTGCCCAGGCTCGGAGAGAGCAAGTCTCCCGACCAGCAGAGCCCGAAAAATCTTACGGCCAGCCACCCTGGCCCAGCTACGACTGGAGAGACTCCACTTACTCCACTTGGAGCCCAGCATGGTCAGGCTGGTCCTCTTGGAATGGCTGGGGTTCCCGTGGCTGGGACGGTTAAGTTGAGGGGGAGTCTGCTCCTTTCCTCGCTGGCTGTTGATGACTGTCAGTGCGGTGGCAAAAAAAGCGATGAAGCGCTGAAGGGAATTGGTTCTGTGGGCGATAGACCAAGTCACTTGTCTCCCCGACTGCCCTCCGAAAGCCCTTAGCCCTTTAAGGCTGGACATGCTCCATGTCTACGACAAGTTCATTGGCGACCTCCCACAGGACCGCGAGGCCTTTGGCAAGGAGCCTTGGCATTGGCAGTTGGGCTCGATCTGGGTGCGCGAAATAACTCCTGTCTACATGGTGCAACAACTCTTTTCGTGCAGAGGGTATGGCGTTGCTGATGAGGACAAGAGTCTGGGTTCAAAACAGGATCAGTGAAAATCAAAAACCGGCTTGCGATTCATAAGCCACGGTCAGCAACTACGAGTCAGAAACCAGTCGCTTCAGAAACTGCGCATCAAAGAAACGCGCATCGGCGGGGGGCGGGGGGGCGGGGGGCTGGGGGGAAAGTGTCGGCACTCCCGTTTCCCGCGCTCCTAATCAGGATTCAGCCGCGAATTGTCCGTCGACCGGTCTAGGCGTCTAGGGTTGTGGGCCTTCAGCTCCAGCTCAGACCCGGGGTAGAAGAAATTTGGGAATGAAGTGCCTTTTGGGAGGTTTCATGAATGTCATCATGCCCAGACCCTGAGCCCCGAATATCCCTGCGACTTCTTACGTTACGTCAGCTAGAAGGCGTGTTTTGCCTCTTGTGAAAGAGTCGAACCATCCCTGAGGCGGTTTCGTAGTTTCAGAATCCCTGAAAGGAACTCGGGTAGCTGCAAGGGTTGCGGTGGGGGGGGGGGGGGGGGGACAGGGTGGGCAGATTTGTGTTTAGTTCAGGGGTTTCGTGGCGCATCCCAGGCCTGGGTGGAGCACTTCCCCATGCTCTTCGACACCCGGGTGCTGGCGCAGGATGGGCGGTTCCACGTGCTGCAGCATGCGGGCGGCTTTAGCCTGGAGTCCTTGCACAAGCAGCCGGGTTGCACCCTTGGGCTTCGGTTCGACTCCCCAGGGTCCCAAAGCCCCTAAACCCCCAGTCGTTTTTTTTTTGTTTTGCAACTGGACCTCCCCCCACATTGCTTGCGGCCTGGTTGTCATGTTGGTTTGCGAGCTGTAGAGGTGTGATTTTGCTGGGCTCCGAGCCCGACCAACTCCTCAATTTCGAAACTGGTCACCGGATTTGTGCAGCCACGACCCGAGGTGGAGCTACAGATGCTTAAAACTCAAAGCTTTCTAGGTGGCTCTGGTGGCGGATGACCCACGTATTGCGGCCCTGCGTGTTCCAAGCGTATCCGCTCTAGCCGTTTTCGGCTTAAGGTTCGGCCCCCATAGGAGTCTTCGATAGAAGCTGTGCTTGGCCGGGCATGGGAAGCGTGAGTACACAATGTACACAGGACGATTTTGCTTCCATGCGAGCCGAGCGAAGAACATTGCCACAGCCTGCCATCCTCTACCAGCACCAGGAGCCCCAGCACGGTCGCCATCGACTTCACCGTCCGCGCCATAGGTCCCTGGCGGCTTTGTGCCTGGAGCCTCCAACCCGCAACCATGGTCGAACTCAGCCGGCGGATGCTCGCGCTAGCCGGGCGGAGGTGCAGCAGCGGCAGCGGCAGTGATCGAAGACTGAAACTTCGAGCTCTCTTTCCTAACATCTTGAGTTAGAAACTGGGTCCGGAAAGTGATTCAATCGGCTGAGCTTCTCGGAGCACTCACACCACGGTTGTTGCCATTGTGAGGTATTCCACTGCTCTTGCTTAAGCTGCCCAGGTTCGTCCCTTTGAATATATCCGATAGTTTTTCATCAATGGCAACACTGGCGTAGGCACCCTTCGCGCGCTGAGCTAGGCGAAGGGGCCTTAAACGACAAAGTGTGGATGCTGCCTTAGTGGCCTGGGGCATTCAGAGTCGACGGGAGCAAAAAGCCCCGAAGACTTTAAACTGTATATAGCCTGTACGCGGTATCAGCACTCATCTATCAGTTCCTTTCACTTGCCATTGTGAGTCTTGGGTGTGAAAACTGCCTCTCGCCAAACCGAAAGATTGTGGCGATTTTGACCAGCAGCAGGGCTCTTCGCACTGCTAGTGCTTGGCGAAGTGGCCCTTAATTCGCGAAAAGTGGGCGATAATCCCACGCAAGTTGACTGGCTCCTTGCCATGGAGATGCGGAAAAGCGCTCACATAAACTGCTGCGTGCATTGTCGGAGGCCTCTGCTATCGCTAGAGGGAGGGTGGGCGCACACGAACTTTCTAAGTGAGGAGGTACACTGAAGGTCCCCCCCCCCACCCTACCCCCCAACATCAATGGGTCTGCAAGAACACAGGCCGCGCCGAATCTGCATTGTTTGGGTGACTTGCTTTTGCCTGTGGCTCGTTCTGTTGCCAAGTGCTCCATTTTGCATGGGGGATTATGACAGCATAAAGTACGTTTCTTGAGTCAGGTTCTCTGGCATACAATAACCCTCAAACCGCCCTCTGATTGGGTTAAAGGATAAATCCAAACCCCAGTTGGTTTGGGCCAATCATTGGGGCAATGCAGCCTGGAAACCCTACAAACCATAGAACCCCAAAAGCTCGAAACCTTACAATCCCAAAACCCTAAATGCTCTAAACCGCAAGCGTTGATACTTGCTATTGCTGGAGTCTTGTCGATCCTGACGAAGTATTGTGCCTGGCCACAGCAGCCGTCATCATTGTCTCAATTTAGACAATTTAATACAGGTTTTCCTGGTACAGCTCACCCGGCAGCTAGGTGGGTGGCATAACCCTAAACCCTAAACCCTAAACCCTAAACCCTAAACCCCAAACCCCACACCCTAAACCCTAAACCCTACACCCTAACCCTAAACACAACCCTAAACCCCGGAACCCGCACATCCGCTCGAGCCCTCAGGCACCTTCAAGGCGAGCCCTCGGGCTTGCGCCTCGAGCCTGGGTGCTGGTCAAGGGTTTATATATTTGTATATATGTTATTATTATTATTATTATTATTATCATTATTATTATTATAATTATTACTAATTACTCATTTATTTTTTTCTTGGGTGGGGGGCGAGGGGGGGGTGGGTTGTTCATGGGGGGAGCTTGTTGTGGCTTTCGCCCCCGTAACCGAACGTGGAGCGTTTCTTTGGATCTTGTTGGGTGTTGCGGGTCTGTGGGGGGTTGGGGGAGGCTGGGTGGGGGGGAGGGGGGGGTGGGTGGGTGGGGGTATACAATGACGTTCCTGCCGACCTTAACCCTGAACCGAACCCAGAACAGTAAGCATGTTGTACAAAGAAGCAAAATCGCTGTACAGTCTGTAGAGACCCGTGTTTGCATGGGCGCTGCTGCCCCCCGCCCCCCGCCCCACAGACAGAAGTACAGACAGAAAGAGCGAAAGAAAGAAGGAATATACACAGAACGAAAGGCATAATGAACAACATAAAGAAAGTGTACATAAATAATGGCACAACACAAGACATGGCATAACAAAGGCAGCCAGATCGACGGAAATCAGAAACAGGAAGAAGTCGCAAACTACGGCAAGACCCGAATAACGAAGTAACCAAGAAAGCAAAAGAACAGGCTAAAGAACGACAAAAAATATAATAATCATGAACGTCGAAGCAGAACACTGTTATTTACAATGCTTTCGCCTCTCTGTACAACATTCGTAGACTCCACACAACACCCCAAACACACCACACCACACGAACTTTGCCCTAAACGCCTGCAACCCCGCAGCAACATTTTGTACCCTCAAGACACAGCTTTGCAGCCCCTAAGCCGCGAACAAACACGTGTTTTTCATTGTTCTTGAACGAATCTACGTACATGCTTCAACACCATGTTTCCATTAAGAGCCACGAGAGCCACGCACCTTCAGCCGTACTTTTGGGGTTTAGGGGTTCAGGAGAGGAGGCCTGGATGCAAAACAAAAAGGTGTTCAGGAGGCTCATGGGTGTAGGATTTAGGGTGCAAAGTAGAGCTCACGGCTTGCGGAATGTGAGTTTTCAGCAGTGCTGCTGTTCGGCGGTTTCGCCTTCAGTTTCTGGCATTGATCCTCAGCTCGAGATGCTAAAGGTTTAGGGTTAAAGGGGCCCGGGTAGACCGGCCCCTGCCCCGTGACTTGGCTTAGCAACCCTTACCGATCTGAACTGAAACCAACGCTAAGCAGACAAATGTCCACGTCCCTCTGAGCATGTCTGGTTTGTGTCCCAGGGTGTAAGAGTCGCTTTTTGCTGGAGCAATAAGTGCTTGCTTTCGAAACACAGGCTTGCCCGACAGGGCGCGGGCAAACACAGGCTTGCCCGGGCAAACCTAGACAACCCTAACCCCCAAAATGCACAAACAAAATCCTTGAAACTCGAAGTGCGCAAGCTCGAAGCCTGGAACCCCTTGCCCGTCTGCCCAGGAGCGGTGCACGACTTTCGCCAAGGCTGCCCACTCTGCGGGCTACGACGCCATGGTCACAGCCGAGGCGGGTCAGTGCGGGGTCTGGGCACTTGTGTTCGGCCTTCCGCTTGAAAAATTCAGCTTGCAGGGCGTGGGCACATCTGCAACAAGAAAGAGAAGGGTGTTAAGGGTCGTGACTTTGTATGACTCTGTTTCCTCCAAGAAGCGTATTTTGCTGCTTTAGCTGTCGGCCCACATAGAACAGTCCATGGTCGCACTGCTCCAGCGGCATGAAGCCGCCTTTTCGCTTCGGGAAGTGCCGGTGAGTTGAGTAGACATGCATGCTGGCTTTTCATTGAAACAGATTTGGCGGTCTACGAAAATAAGGGACTCCAATTTTAGACTTCCAACTAGGAGGACTCCCTTATAATCAGGACCCCAATAAGGTACCCCTATTTTGGGAAAGGTCTTCCTCATGGAAATGGACCGCTGGATCCGCCACGTGAACAGCAATGCCATGCCCGAAAATGAAAACGCCTGCGAGGACCCGGGGGGTTCTCCCCTCCTTTAGGGTTTAGGGTCCAGGGTTTAGGGTTTAGGGTTTTGGGCGGTTTTGGGGGGTTCTTTCCTCCTTGCCCCGCAACACCCTCGACCCCCAAAACCTGCCCAGGAGCCAGCTTCCAATGGGCGCAAGCGCAAGCGCTCGGCTGATGCAGTGGAGGGCCTTTCCTCTCCGAGCCCTTGGGCTGCTCAGGGGGGGGTGGAGGGCTCAACCTCAGTCTACCCTAAGCCCCTAAGCCCTGAAGACAAATCAGAGCGCTTTAAGGCAGGCATGCCAAGCAAGGTCCGAAGTCCCTGTCTTGTGTGGCTGAGGCCAGCTCGAAAGCCACGAGGCCTGCCGGCGGTTCCACAACCGTGTGGCGCTGGTGAACACCTCCCCGGGCTCCATGGATTTAGTGCCCAAAGAGGCTGAGCCGCTGCTGGAAGGGAAGGAAAAAGAAGGAGGGTTCAGTGAGTTCAGTTCCAGCTTTCGGGTTTGAGGTTTTGAAATGTCTTACTTAGAGGTGAGGGTCGAGCCGAGCTTGCGGCACTTTTGACGTGGGGGGCTGCTCAAGTCACAGACTGTGAAACTAGCCCTTGCAATTTGCAATCCCTGCTTCTCGAGGAGTTTGTCAAGAAGGAGGTGCAGGCAATCAACAGCCGGAGCCTCGATGGGGGGCAATGGCCCTTGGCAGATCTCCAGATCCCGCATGTCAGCATGTCTGTTGCAATGACCCTAGGCCTAACCCTAAACCCTAAACCCTAAACCCTAAACCCTAAACCCTAAACCCTAAACCCTAAACCCTAAACCCAAAAGGCCAAGACTCTGAGAGCATCTGAGGTGAGCACGAGAAGAACGTGCAGAGCAGCGGCCGGCGCATCTTCCAGCTCCTTGAGTCGCAGGCACGCGGCCCTTGGCATCGCTCTCACACCCGGGAAGATGTTCGTCATGGTTTTTTGGGCAAAGGGGTGGCAAATTCCCTGAAAGTCGTAAAACTTAGCCGATCTGCATGCCAGGAGTCAGCAGACCCCGAGGTCAGTTGTCTGAGCGATTGGTTGAGTTCGCGCGTGCCTTCAGGTCTCGGCAGGTGTCGTCGCGGTTATTAGGCGTTGGGCTGCCATGTTCAAGTTGTCTTCCGGGTCTGCCGTGCTGGCAGGCAGATCCGGCATCGAGCGTAGGGCGATTTGCCACGGGCAATGCAGGGGCCTCAGCGTCTAGAGGTAGCCAAACTCAGGACTTAGGTGAAGTAGGCGTCATTGCCATGTTACCCCTCCCTCTTAGGGCATTCTTCGTAAGAGACTTGAGCTGCCAAATGCATTCAGTTGCCATTTGATTAGCCACCTCTTCTTGGTATGTGAAGCAACCCAGACCTGGCTCCAAAACTGTGCTGGTGAGCATTAGAACTTCTGATCCCAGATGGAGACCCTCTACGATTTGCCCATGCGCTCGAGACTTAGGGGGCCCTGGTGAGATGGTCGTAGGTCATGTTGAGGCTTCAGGGTTGGGTTCTTGCCGCAGCAGAAGCCTATGCATCAAAGGCAGCTGCAGGCGAGCCTGTAGCCCGGGACTGCTACGCCATTGCGCTGCAAGGCAACGGGACTTCCCCGGTCGACGCCCTGAAGCAGCGGGCTCGGAACTCTTAAACTCCAAACCGGCCAAGAAAGTTTGTGCATGTGTCACTGCTGCAGAGTAGTGTTGTCCCTGGGTGACACTCTCATAGACGGCCGGTTGTTTCCTGGAGCGAGACAACACGATGCTTCGAAACTGGGCAGAACGACCGTGAGAACTCAAGACATGGAAGGGTACATGCCATGCCGGGCAGAATGAACTGAATCATGGATCATAAATTTTGCCGCCGCCGAAGTCATTACTTGGCTCCTGCCCACAAAGCCGTGGACCTGTAGCTACTTCGGAGCTTGGTCGGCGGGCCAAGTGAGCAGGGCGAACTTGTTCGACAATTATGTAACAGGAGGTTTGAGCCACGAAACTACATGTCCTGGCTCGCGGCTGTGGCTCTTTCAGCTACGTGGCATATGAAGCATTTGGATCACCTTTGTCTGACTGGAAGGGTGAGTCGTGCCCCTGAGTATGCGAGAAGATATGCAGATGGGTCGAGCATGATGGTGTCAGTGCAAAGTCTCTGGGCTCTGCGAGCTGAGCAACGAGACGTGGGAAGGTGACTGTTTTAGATATCGCTTTATTGATGTAAGCTGCCGCGATTGTCCAGGATTTCCGGAGAGGAAGACACGTGGTGGAATGTTTTGAATAGTCTTACTCCGGTGTGGCGGATTAAACACCCAGGATCTACTTCAAGGAGCGGTACTGCCCCGAGCAGATGAAGCTCGTGCGCGGGCCCCATGCAGCTTCGCGGTTTTGTTTGGGTGGAGTTTTGCTGGGAGCTTGGGATTTCGGGGCTGTTTTTGGGCTGCGCATCCTCCTCTGGTCATGGTGGTTGCTGTCTGTTGAACTCGAATTCCCAACCATGCTGCGCCCGAACCGAGTTAGCCGGCAAGATGCTGACCCCCCCAAACCAGCCCTGAAGCCCCCTCAGCACCCTGCAACACCCCCAACGGCCTTAGCAAACCGAACAAACCCCTAAGCCCTAGCCCCTCAACCCTAAACCCTAAACCCTAAAGCAGAAGCCCCAAGCCCTAAACCCCTCAACCCTACACCCTAAACCCCCCCCCCCCCTTTGTTTGCATGACTGACGCCCCCGAGGACCTTCGGGCCTGCGGCGCTTTCCGAGCAGCTGGCCATGGTCCGCCAGGCGAGGAGGTTTAGGGGTTTAGAAGGGTTGAGGGGCGTAGTGGGCGGCGGACTTTTAGGGGGCGGGGGTTGGGATGTGTTTCGGGTGTAAACCGGGGGGTCTTCGTAGGGGGCTTCTTTGGGCGCTCGAAGGTTTCTTGTGCAGGATGAACAGGGGGGTGGTAGGCAGGATTGCTTCGTTTCGAACGACTTAAACACACCTCAACCTACACCCGAAACCCGAATTCCCGAACCCTAAACCCTAAACCCTAAACCCTAAACCCTAAACCCTAAACCCTAAACCCTAACCCCTAAACCCTAAACCCTGAACCCTGAACCCTAAAACCCTAAACCCGAATTCTTGAACCCAAGGCTGGCTTCGACAACCTGCCGAAGGGAGTGCGGGCCTTGGCTTCTGTGACCGGCAAGCTGCGATTTTCGTTCCAAGGTCTCGAGTGGGGTAGGATTTTGGGGTTGAGGGTTTAGGTTTCTCGTTTGCTTCAGAGCCCGGAGTCTAGGGATCAGGGGGTGGTAGGGCTTGACAATGTGCTGTCTGTGGCTTGGTACTGTTGGCGGTGCGCTGGCTGTGGCAACCACAGCCCTCCCCCACGCTTTTCCACAAAAAGCCAGAGCAATGCATGCCACAGCAAAATGGCACCCTTCGGAGGAGGACAAGTGTGCGCTCTCGGATCGCAGTGGGAAGCTCAGCACGACAGTGGTATGCAATGATTCGGTGTCCAAAAAAAAAGCGCAGCTGCTAAAATCATTGTAGAGGATCTCTTGCCGCCCCTTGCAGGCTTTGCAAGCCCGGTGCCATTTCCACCTTCACACATGGGTGCCTTCCTCAGAACCCCCTTTGTGCCAGAAAGGCGCAGGGCTAGTATTCGTGTGGGTCAGAGTTGGGTGATACTTTTGCTTTGTCCATCGGCAGGGCTTCTCATGCTGGGCCCCATCAGAGCGAGAGAGTTGGCCTGCACCCCCACCGCACCGGCCGAGGCAAAAGCCTGCTGGTACAAGGCCAGGCGACTGTCGTTGAGGGTTTGACCGGGCATCTCATCAGGTAGGCATTCAGAGTTTTGTCCTTTCGACAGGCGGTTTTCCAAGAGTGCATCTGTGTGTGCGGCGCACATGACTGGACATGTGGTCGCCGAGTCGCATGACCAACCCAGTTCTTAGTGCAAGAGCGACCATGGCAAAGCATGCTTCGGTCACATCTGCAAGAGGGCGCCTCGAAGTCGTACCTGCAAGTGATGCTTGTTTCGTACCATCATGTCCTGTACGCTGTGCACATGCATGGCTTCGTCCTCGCTATTGACCCGGAAGATGAACACAGACTGGATACCTTGTTGTCAGCATACTCTGTACATGGACACGTTTTGGAGGAAGTTTTTCTGCCCTTGGTGCAAGCCGGTTTGCATTTATAACACAAACGCATGCAACTCTCATGCAAATCGCCACCCGTGAGAAAGATCCACCAAGACGGCCTAGATAATGATGATGATGATGGTGATCATGATGATGATGATGATGATGGTGATGATGATGATCGTCAGGCCACTATGAAAACAGCTCGAAATAAACATAGACCACATGAACGCTTGGAGGCAAACTTGGAAGTCGAAGCGTGTTTGTGTGCAAGTCCCCTACGCTGTACGTAGAGCCGAAAGTACTTCGGGACGAGGATTGCTTCAGCTGCTTCACCAATCGCAATCTGAACAGACTCAGACTCTTCTGTGGCAGTGCTTTCTCCTCTGCCCTGCCTCTGCAAGGTACCGAAGCCACCGGCTCAGTGTGGCTGCACTTCCAGCTACCAAGCCTGGTCAGGCACGCCTCTGGCTCCTCTCGGAGCCGGAGTTTTTGGGGCTGTTGTAGAGCGAAATTCCCGCTGTGCCCCTAAACCCCTACACCCGTAACCCTTTTGCATCTGGGCCCCTAGGCCCCCCTAGCTGGCACAACACTCCCCGCGCCCATAACATCGAAGCCCAGACTCCTCAACCCAAGCCTTTTGTGTTTTGGGTTAGGGTGTAGGGTTTAGGGTCTAGGGTTTAGGGTTCAAAAGGGTTTAGGGTGTAGGGTTTAGGGTTTAGGGTTCAAAAGGGTTTAGGGTTTAGGTTTTGGTTTGATGGATCAGAGTGTGGGTGAAAAAAGAAGGGGTTTCTGGCGCAGGGAGCACCGTGCCCAGCCGCTTACATACCTGCACTACATCGTCAACTACGGAGGTCCCATGCTTGATTGATTGGTAGGGCTTTAGGGTTTAGGGTTTTTAGGGTTTTTAGGGTTTTTAGGGTTTTTAGGGTTTAGGGTTTAGTGTTTAGTGCTTGGGGTTTAGGGTTTAGAACACCCGCAGAACAGGGCGAAGGGTTTAGGCTGGTTCTTTGAGTCTGGGATCTACAATGGGCGATACAACTTGCTCCTTCACTTGGCTTCTGTATCCGCCAGCTCATGCTTCTCTCTTCAGTTTCAGAGGCGGTCGACACTTTTGGAAGCTACGGCCCCAAAGCCACGGGCTATTCTTGAAGTTATTTGTGTGGGGGAACCACATGCCCCTGTGTCTCAGAGAGGAATGCCCAGAAACGACCGTGGGTCACGGTCAGAAGCCGCTACCTTCGTTGACTCAGTTATGTATCAGCACTTCACTTGGCAGCGAAACCCAAGCCATAGGTTCGTATCACAGTGGCTACGAAGAGCTCCCGCGGGTGAAAACCCCTTGGAGCCTTCTTTGCCGTGCGACGCAGCCCGAGGTGAAAACTCCCT